AGTGACGGGGTGCCTCAGGTGGATACGATGACGCCCGATACGGTCCGCCAGCAGCTCGCTGATCTGCTGGGTACCTCCCTGACGGCGAAAACACTCAGATTAGTGATGTCAATTACCGGAAATCAGAATACCAATACCAAACCAAATACCAACCAAAATCGGTGGAAGCCCGGAATTGACCACACGAAACACACAATTGTCATGTGATTAATCAAAGATAATTTGTGTATCTCAAGCGAGGATGACAATTTTAATTTGTTGAGTTAATTTATCCCGCGCCCCGTAGGGGGGGGGGGCCGAAACGGCCCCCCTGTCTTTTTCGGTCGATATCTCCTAAACGGCTGGAGATATCGCCACCAAACTTTCAGGACCCCTCCGGGCATCAATTTTACACATTGATAGGTTGGCCACAAATGACGTCAGAGTGACGTCATGTTCTGTCATTTTCGACCGAAAAAAGACCTTCGCGAGAAGACCTGTCAGGACTACAGCTTTGAAGATACAGAAAAATGATCAAGACATAAAAGGTGTAGAATTGACATGGCTACAAAACTGCTATCTCGAATATTTGAAATTTTTGAGTTTTGACCCCCAAAAATCAAAAAAGCATTTTTTTTGGATATATTCGCCAAAAAATCCAAAAAGTTTTTTTGAGTTTCGAAAAAAAAACGGAATATATGTGATAGTGCCTACCGTCTTCTATCTACATACCAAATTTCAGATCGATACCTCGTTTCTTGGCCAAGTTATAGCGAAAAAACTGTTCAAAAATGATGACGTCAAATTTTCAAACTCATTTTTTGGCAATTCTAGAACTCGTAGAGCAAAACGAAGACCACCATTAGACTCCCCGTGACGAGCTGCATCGAATCGATACCCATTTTATGCAAAAACATCAACTTTGAAATTTGACCTAATTTGACCTGACCTTGACCTGACCTTCACCAAAACGTGACCTAGGCTGGCCCCAAAGGCTGCCTAACCCACATAATCGCATTTGTCATGTAAAATGGACCATAAAACATGTATCACACGACACATTCATATTGTGACCCCCGGTGACCTGACCTCGCTGTGACCTGACCTGGTATCAGTGACCTCAGATAGCAAAGTATGTGTTTGACGAACAATGTACCATCGATGGTTTTCAATAAATTACCAATTTACTCGCTTTCACAGCACATTTCTTGAATTGCCTGTGAACGGTGAAAATCTGACCTTTGACCTGACCTGTGACGTCATCGGTTTGACCTAGGTCAATGAAATTTGGTCACAAGGTAGTTCCCGGGTGGGGCTATCGAACGCCGTTTGAATTTTGAAAATCGGCCGGTAACTTTCCGAGATCTTAGGGGGGGGCGAAACGGCCCCCCCCCCCTACGGGTGGTAGGGTCCGCCGGTAGCCCTACGGGGCGCGGGTTATTCAACTCTGGTAGCATAGGATTATGTGAACGTCGTCGTAATTTCTCGAATATGTATATCAAAAGCAGAGTTGGCCTACGTTACGTTATTTTGAAGTTTTCGGTAACCCGTAGCTGTCAGTTCCGTTTCGTAGCGTAATTGGGATGTTTCGGTAGCGTAGTACGGAAAATAATAGAATAACGTAGGAACTACGAAATGGATTCCGTAGCAATTACAGGTCAGCTGTATTTGTATAAGGTACATATTTTTTTTCAGTTTACTCATATCGTTAGTCGTCACCAGACCTCCGGCCGTTTACACGGATGTGAGACGCCTGCTATATGAATACCACTGAGTCTTTCTTCCGGCCGGACCGACACCGGGGATTTCCCACTGGGGAGTCCCAGGAAATTCCCTGTCGGAAGTCCAGTGCATCTAGCGAGTAGCGCGTAGGCACCGCCGCACCGACGATGCTGCAAAGCCGGCGATCATTGTGCGCAGTATTTGGCTTACTAGAGACTAGCCGTTTCCACTGGGTAGTGGATGATGACATATTGCATAACGTAGTACGATAAAATAATTTGCTGCGTTAATTAACAGATACCGTAATTCAGTAACGTGGCAATATATAACGTATCGTAATTCGGTATCGGTATCGTAGTTTTGGCCAAAAAAGCAAACGTAGCGTAACGTAGTGCGTAACGTAGCGTAGCGCAGGCCAACTCTGATCAAAAGTTCCGCTTTCTGTCGATTTATGTATAACATGTACCACGTTCTGTTCCTAACACATGAAACTAGTAATTATAACATCAATGCCCTTCCTTATCATCTTTAGACTGCAGAAAACTAGCTAAACACGCTTGCCTCGCTTCAACTCGATAAGATACCATTTATCGGAACACGGTATAGCGATCCAGTCTTATCAGTCATTCGGTATCACATCAGTCCACCACTTAGCCTTCCTACCTTTGGATTGTGAGGGTTTCGAGGACCTCAAAGCTCATGCGACTGGTCTGTAGATTAATGGATTTAAAATGACCTTGATGTGACAGACCAGTCGTTTGTTTTCCTTCACACTGCACAGCATTGATATGTTCGCATTACATTTTGTGGCCGATTGTGATAGAACCTGAAGTGAAAGTGCCACTGTGGTATTTTCAAATATAAGTGATACACCATGCATCTATACATAATTACATAGGCATACACAGAATCATGCATATGAACAAAGATACATACACACGCCACACGGCATTCACTGACCATGAAGTGACCCTAGACACGTATCTTTATCTTGCCTATAGACCATGATATAGCCACTTCGCCACTTCACTTAGCCACTTCGGCTAGTTACGGCTCTGACCAGTAACTCTTTACTATAAAAAATAACTTTCAACCATCTAACTACATCGACCTTGGACCCTGTGCTGACCTTGAAATTTGACCCTGCACTGACCTTGACCTTTGACCCCGCACTGACCTTGACCTTGAACTCCTGCGCGGTGCCTGGCGTGGCCTCGAGCAGGGCGTTGAGTCCACCAGCGGCGTGGGTATAGGCCAGAAAGTGGACCACGCTCACCCGGCTGGCGTCACAGCCTGGAGGAATGACCCGACACGGGTCAACCAGGGGTTCTCAAACTTATTGGTATATATTGGCGTCATAGCCTTGGGAGAGTAGATCTGATCCAGGTCAGACCAGGAGCTCTCAAACTTATTGTTATATATTGGCGTCACAGCCTGGGGGAATGACCCGACACGGGTCACACAAGGGGTTCTCAAACTTATTGTGATATATTGGCGTCACAGCCTAAGGAGAGTAGATCTGATCCAGGTCAGACCAGGGGTTCCCAAACTTATTGGTACATATTGGCATCACAACCTGGGCCCTGTTTCACCGGTGATAGCAGCACGCTGCTATTACACGTTGACGTGTCAAATTGGGTTTCCATGGGAACATCGACAAACCATGACGCCGTCAATCTGTGTGATGTCATCAAATATTGCTGCTAGCATCTTCACGGTCGTGCGATCAAACAAATGCATCAAACGCAATTCAACGAGACAGCAACTCTGTTCCAAACGCATCTCACGGATTACACGAAACGTCATTAGTGTGACCTCATCGCATTACGTCAGCTCGCGCAATTTGATAGTAGCGTGCTGCTATCACCGGTGAAACAGGGCCCTGGGGAGAACGACCCGACACGGGTCACACCAGGGGTTCCCAAACTCATAACCCTGGTGGCGTCACAGCCTGGGAGAATGACCCGACCCGGGTCAGACTAGTGATGCTCAAACCCATAATACCCTACCAATTATGGACAATGCTCAACATAGATAAGCGACTCGATGGTCGGTTGGAATCGGGCCAGTGGTTCGCAAACTCAGCATTACTTACCACCTATACACAATCTACATTACAGATGCCTCCACTTGTATACCAAAGCCCACGTTCCTTCATCGCTATACTGATCATCCCACAGGCTACCATGACTTTTGTATACCATATCCCACGTTCCTTCTTCCTTTACTTTATTCATCCCAGAAGCTAATATGATGATATCAAAAACTGTCATGTTGCCGATATTCTTACCTTTTACCGACCCCAAACCATAACTTCAGACCCAAACCATACCAGTGGTTCTCAAACTTATCTTCAGTGGTTTTCAAACCCATCCCCTGGGCGGCCCGCCTACCTAGGATCACCCTACACGCGGAAATGATGGCCTCCAGAGCGGCCGTATTGCTGATGTTCTGTCGCGCGAAGGCTTCCACAGAGACACCGTCCAGGTCTCTGATAGTCCGGTCACTGCAGGGGCTCAGAGGAGAGCATTTTTTGGCCAGACGGTCCACCTGAGGGAGGTTTTTAGGTGGGTCAAAGGTAGACAAATGGGAACATGATAAGATGATGTGAACGAGCAGAGATGCTGCGTGGGTATTAGTGATGTTGTAATGGGTATTTTGGGGAACTGATACGGAACCTAATTTCATGCTATCGTAAAGAAAATGATATGACATGCTGTCAACGAAATACAGCCCCGTGGGCTTTTCCATTTGGGTAGGTACTTATGTACTTATCTAAATCAAATTACCAAAGACAAAAGTCATGACAATAATGTTAAGTAGAGCCGGGACAAAGACAAAAAAAGCGCGTGCTGACCTTCCAGATGAAGAGCTGCAGCTGCACCAGGCCCCACCACGAGCCAAGGTTGGGTATCGTGCTGCTGTAGCGTCGAATGGAGTCACCTCCCAGCTGCATATGCTTTGTACCCTGACGGGAAGAAACGGGGGAGGAAAAGGGAGATTTAGTTTGGCAAACGTAAGAAAAAGAGAACGGAGATCAAGTGATTTCATGCACTAAACTTGGTCAGTGGAGATAGCCTAATTGTGTTTATAGTTTTCAGATTATTTATCTCGAACGACTGAATATTATGCAAAAAACAAGACATGAAAAATATTGTTTTTTATATCCGCTCTTTCTAAGACTTATCAGACGATACAGTACAGCATCAAACAGCTCGCAAAACTGATCAAGGTGAAAAAACAGTGTAATGGAAGAACACATGAATTAAAGCTAAGTGTAATATACTCATAGACCTAGTTTTTTTCTTGTTGAGCCAATAATGACATTGTGTTTTGATTGTTAATTTTGTATTCAAACAAATAACCCACGAGCCGCTGGGGGGGGCATAAAGTTGCCCCCCTTTACGTTTTGTGAAATATCTCCGAAACCTGATGAGCTACGAACGTGAAACTTGGCATAGCTTCAAATGAATACCTAGGCAATATTTGAGGAAAGTTTGGTGGTTGTAGCACCTAAGATGACGTCACAGTGACGTCATAAAGTTTTGTCGTTTTCCGATATGGACAGTTTCTGATGACGCTGAGCATGAAACTCAACTGTAAATGAACTAGACAGCACCTGCTGTCATCCTAAAACATCTAACTACACTTCCATCTTGTTTCTGACCAATAATTGACCCTTTATATTCGGTCCCATATATCTGATGTATCGTGAGGAATATGAGAGTCGCAAATCTATAATTTCACTTATGACGTCACTGTGACGTCATTTAAAATGGGATCGACACCAAATTTAGACACAACCTCAAATAGGTATTCAGGAATATGTGTGCAAAGTTTCGCTTTTCTATCTCTTCGCGTTGCGACGATATCGTCGCAGAAGTAAAGGGGGGGGGCAACTATATGCCCCCCCCCCAGCGGCCGGCGGGTGGCGCGGAGGCCCAGCGGCCGCCGGGATAAGATTTGTAATGACATAGGCTAGTGCGTATATGTAAGGAAGATATATGGTCATAAAAATAGTACCAACACTAGCACCGTGTCCAATGTTGATGTGTATTTTTGGATAGTTCAGTCCCACTAACACATTGTTTATCTTCTCTATCGTGTTAGTTATCCAGGCAACTAGGACACTTGACGTGTTACTTGTCCTCCCATTGAACACATACATTTTTTATGTAGATACACAAATAGATATGTAATGATTAGATGTATAAGATATCTATTTAAATCTAACTACTTTACTACTAACACTACTAATCTGCATAGTCCGCGACATACGAGTATAGTAGCAAATGGCCCATCACACAATCATCACCTGAATGTATTGCGGATAGACCTGATGTAAGTGATCCACGGCTCATCACATCATCACCTGAATGTATTGCGGATAGACCTCCAGTCCGAGTTCATCCAGCATCTCCATGATGTCGGTCTGAGTTGAGCCGACCCACTGACCTCCGAGGTCAAAGGTCTCCGTCTGACCTTGTCTGACCCGGATCTGGGTGGCCAGGGTTCGACCGCCGACACGGTCTGGAAAATAGAGACAGAAAACGGAGTGTGTGTTAAAGTTGAGTTGAGCTTGGGGAACCATATTTTGACATATCTACTAGAGAGGTATATTTTTACATATAAACAAAGTAGATAAATGTGTTACAGACTAGATACATTTCGAAAATGTAGTACCTATGTACAAAAAGCGGGATTTAAATACAGATTGAGGAATCGATTAAAACTTGGAGGAATAGAATACCGAATGGAAGAGCGAATAGCGTACAAATTGGAGCAATTGAATACATAATGAAGGAACGCTGTGTGCATCATGTATTTCTAGAAACTGGAAGAAAGAAGTACCTACTGAATAGAGCACAGAGTGAAGAAATTGGGTGGAGAAATACATCATTACACAGAGAGGAAATAAATATAGCAGAATAGAGTAATTCAGTACAAACTGGACGGCACGGAACTGGAAGTGCCACTATATGGTGAAAACTGCAGACCGATGGTATTGTCACTGTTCTCTGGCATTTGCTGCTGACAGTCAAACAGCTCCTTGACGTTGATATGTTCTTTTAACCAGTTTTTTTTTTTTACCCTAGACATTCGGTTTACATTACTGGCTTTCGCCCCACACTATTCATCACTTGACTAATAATCACATCACCAATCAACATATAACGCACTTGCATGCACACTCTTATAATAGTGATGTCAATTACGGAAAATCGGAATACCGATACCAAACCAAATACCAACCAAACCACGGGAAAATACCGAAACCAAACCAACTTGGGAAAATGAGGGAAATACCAACTTTTTACCGATTTCTTAGCCTCTTATACATTAGTGAGGGTTTATGATACCAACAAAATACCAAACACATTATGATTGAAATACCAAATACCAAGCTGGTATCGGTTTGGTATCGGTATACCAAAAAGTTGGTATCCGATTGACATCTCTATCTTATAACCTTCGACCTGCGCTGCGTTTGCCAAATACCTAACCTCTGCAACAATCCTTTATGGCAGTAGTTCCCTCATCTCCTACCTTTAGCCTCTACTAAGCAGAGCTCAGTTTTTGGATTCCGTTTCTGAATCTCGTAGGCAGCCGTTAGCCCGGAAATACCGGCACCAATGACCAGCACCTCACATGTGATGTCACTGGATGTTTTGGTGACGTCACTGGAGCCGCTGGTGACGTCATTTGTCTCAGTATGTGACATCATTACGGGAGCTTCATCGGCTGTCTCTGATGACGCCGACATTCTGTGAAAGACCGGGCACAGTAGTTACTAGTTACATTGCTACAGTAGTGACATCGCTACAGTAGTTACATTGCTTCAGTAGTTACATTGCTACAGTAGTTACATTGCTACATAGTTACATGGCTACATAGTTTTATGGCTATATAGTTACATTGTTTCACTTGTTACATTGCTGCATAGTTACATTGCTACAGTAGTTAGGTACATTGTTACAGTAGTAACATTGCTACAGTAGTTACATTGCGTCAGTAGTTACATTGCTACAGTAGTTACATTGCTACAGTAGTTACATTGCTACAGTAGTTACATTGCTACATAGTTACATTGCTACAGTAGTTACATTGCTACAGTAGTTATATTCAGACATGTGCATGGATCCGAGTGATGGATCTTTGATCTCAGTGGATTTCGAGGCAAATTGTAGGTTCGGATCTATGATCCCACCGAATCCGGCGTGAAAAAAAATATCCTGGATCTATGATCTCACAGGATCTGACTGACGATAAATCAATAGCATGGATCTATGATTTGAGTGGATCCCACCATGAACAACATTTGAAACCAGGTTTCCAAGTGTTTCTATGTTCAATAATTGCCATAAAACTATGGATTATGACGTGTTATCACATAAAAGCACTAAATAAGAACGTTTGTGAGTTGCAAGAAATCCCAAAAGATCACTCGTTGCAACTTCGATAGGCGTTATCACAAGTGTATTCGCGGTCATTGGGGCGACGTAAGAAAAGAAGAAAACAACTGGCCCCAAGAACTTTAAATTATCAGTTAGCATGCATCTTTTCCTTGATCTGTAGATAATTTACCATTAATTGCTAGAGAAAATTGTATTTAAAATCTTCCATCTATATTTTTTTCATCGTTTGCACAATATGTTCTTTTTTTTAAGTAGAAACACTAATTAGAAATAGTTCCCGCATCATCAAGAACAATAGGGAAGGCTTGAAGTGAATACAATAATCTTAACGGTGTTGTAATCTATGTGAAGACACTTCTAAAATTGCCGTAGAAATATTGAAGGCAAAAGTTCAACTTTTTCACAAGACGGATGTCTATAAACCTATTCAACGTGTGACAACTCAGCCGGTATTTCGTCGCCTACAGCCCAGCTTTCCCTAGTGACCGATAGAGGCGCTGCTATCGATGTCCGCCCGTGCCGCCTAACGTGCAACGAGTGACCTTTTGGGATTTCTGTATTGACCAAAAATATATGAGGATCTATGATCCCCCTGGATCTCAAGCAAAAATACTAGACTCGGATCTATGATCTCTAGGATCTCTCGATAAAGAGCTGGATATATGATCCCGACGGATCCGAGATCAGGATCCGCGGGACGACCAGCAGCGCTGCCACGCGATTGAACTCGGCAGCCACGCTGACGGCTGAGCTGGGAAATGGTGGAGGGTAGAGGCCAGAAGGAGGGGGGGGGGAAGTGACGCGGTTACGGTGTGTGGGGTGACGAAATGTTGACGATATGTTGCGCAGCTGGATACAGCATTTCGAAAAATTGTTATTTCCTATGATCATGGTTGTGAAAATACATAGCTTTTCGTTACTGGGGGTAGGAGTAGGACACGTGATGTTACCCCGCGCCGTGCTGGTGGTCTGTGTTTTCCGTGTCGTGCTGGGGGGGGACGCTTTCACACACCCCCTTCTAACTCGGCCTCTGGGCCATGTAGCGACACGCAGTAAGCGGCAATCGAAAGAGCGTCAAAAATAATGACGGAACCACTCCGGTCATTTTCTAGGTCAGTTTGAAGGTCAGGTCACCAGAGATCATCAAAGGTCAATTGTAGTCCATTTCAACAATTTTGGAAACTACCAACGGCTAACTCGGGTACCAATAGAGCTAGAGCCACATCCGACGTCAACACCCAAACAACACCCTAAACTGACTTCACTCAAACAAAAAGTATACCGTTCGACGCGCTTGAGCAGGGCGAACACGATGCTGTCAAAATTGCGGCCCTGTGGTGGCTGTTTTCGCGAAGTTATTTGCCAAAAACCGAACCCGTACCTTGGACCACTTGTCCTGACCTCAGAGGTCACAGTTTGACCTGAGACCTTTAAATCGGGTACCGTAATCGGTTTCGGGTTCGCACCACCTCCCTCCCCCCCCCCCCCCCGCCCTCGGCCGGCGCGTGTGTAGAAAACTAATAGGTCCGGCGAGGGTTAAACACTGGTATGCTTATCCAACACACTAATATCTTTGACTATGACAGCCTGTTGCTCTACCCCACAAATATTTTCACTCACCACCCTGTTTGTTGAATCTGTCCGAAGTCGCTGCTGCCACCGCACACCTGCACTACATTCAGCACCATCCTCGGTTTGAATGTCTATGTTATCTAGAGTCCCGCCCCCGGCCTTGAGACGCCAGAGATGGTCACTGATAGAACGACAATAATCGAACTCTGATAAGGCTTACCTGCCAACAGTTGGGGATATATGTACACTGTGGAGCTATAGGAATCATAAACGGACTATAAAACTAACCGCAGTATAATACTCGTTGGTAAAGGGCATGAACACTCCTATAATAATACATATATCCGCTATGACCGGAAACTCAGGCGAGGTTTACAAAGTTTAAGCAAATCATGCTTCATTAACCCTATTAGTGGCAGGCTCCTGGCTACCCCTATTAGTGGCAGGGGGGGGGGGGCTGTTTACGACCCCCCTTGATATCTCGAGATCTAACGGGCCGATTTTCAAAATTCAAACGGCATTCGATTTCGCTCAACGTTATCTACATTTCTAAAAAAATAAAAATTAAAAAATGTCAATAGGGGGGGTAGAGGGGGGTAAAAACGGGCAAATTGCAGATACATTTTAGACTGTTTATCACGGCCAGGTTTCTGAACCAATCTTAACCCGGCAGTTCCTGGGGTATTTCGCCACCCACCGTTTGCTGGGGGGGGGGCGTTAAACGCCCCCAGCCGATAACTCGAGAACCAATAGGCGCAGCGAAACGCACGGGGCGGCAAACGAAAGAACGCGACGAGACGCTTCAGATTAGTACTATAAAGTTGAATTTCGAGGTCACAGGTCAGGTCAAGGTCAGGTCAAACACCTGAAATCGGGCTTTCAGTAGCATGGACTTCAGGACTTCGCAATGGGCGCCTCTCGTCATAAACTCTGTCAAAACGGTGCACAATCCATCATATAAGGCCTACAAGAGTGTCAGCTCCATGCAGGGGTCAGTCAAGTATAGGTCAGGGTCAAGGTCAGGTCAACCGGGCAGGTACATATCCCCGAAAATAAAAACTGATATACGCAGCCTGTGACACATGTTTTATGGGTAATTTGGGGCGTAGAACACGATGGTGACATTCATTTTATCATATGTGTACGTGTTTGGCTAAAAAAGTTCAATTTAAGAAATTAATGTATCATGGTCGTGAAGAAGTCACGAGAAATTGCCAAGATTCAGTTCAAGATTTTGGAAAATTCGGATCCATAATCAATAATCGAAGATAACCATTTGATTGTCCATGGTATTGGCAGTCTAATGGCGTTTACGGCATGTCTATATGTCTATTCTGTGATTTTATATGATTTTTTGAACATATGCCGTTTTTGGTCGAAAACTCAGAAATCATGACGTCACTAAAACCTCGATATCTCAAAAAATTTCCGACTGATTTTTTTGAAACTTTGTCACAATAAACTTCAATCAATTCCCTACAGGTACCCAAAATTTGGCGCGCCTGCGGCGCGCCGTTTTTATGCTATGGCCCGGCGAAAAAAGTGGGGGCGTTTAACGCCCCCCCCCCCAGCAACTCGCGGGTTAACGCAACTTTTGCCGATCGATAGAGAATGAACCAGGAATTCACATGGATCCTAAAAATATGCATTTTCAAAAATCATAGGCGGATATAGATCATTGAGATTGGGGGTACACAAAAAGTATAGTAAATAAGGTTTTTGTTGGTACTGTTTCTTAAAAGGGTGGTAATGGTCTTGTTATGTTACAATTTTCTTATGAGAGAACGACTACAATTGTATTGGTCATGCATAGGCGGTGTCAGGGCACCTATGTTGGGAGGTAAAACATAACCCCCCTTTTTGGACGCCTGGATCCGCCTATTATAGCAAAAACGTGTCAAAAGAGGACGCACAATAACTGTATATGTTATCACATGATACCTTTCATTCACTGTTCGTAAAACTGGTGCACCATCGTGATCTTCGCCCAAATGACTCGCTTCACGAATAGGACCCCCCAATTCCCAGTGCTCTGGAGCCGCCCCTGGTAAAGTTATGAACTTGAAATTTTCAGGGAATGTGCCCAATTTAGTTTTAGGAAAAGTCAGAAAATTTCAGCATCGTAGCTTCAGCGGTTTCGGAGATATTCCCGAAAAACCTGAGGGGTGGATGAAAACAACCCCCCTGCCACTAATAGGGTTAATACTTTCAAGGACAACTTCCATGAGGATACCACATCAAATTTGACTTGGCGTCTTCTGACTTCTCATCTTGTCTTCTCGTTTTCCTTATAAGTAGGGGGTGGGGGGGGGCTTAGAATCATCGCAATCCTGAACAAAATCAGCCGTTTTTATCAGCCGCATCAGACGATAGCTGGTGTATATCATACTTTATGCCACAAAGTTCACGTCTCACGATCGTCGCACTAGTCTTTTTACAGCAAAATATAGAACAAAACACAATTTAGCCTGGCCGTACTTAGTCCAGGGCTGCGGAGTCGATGGATTTTCGGCGACTCCGACTTCGACTCCGGCTTTCCAAAACCAGCTCCGACTCCGACTCCGACTCCAGGCAGAATTGTCGACTCCGACCGACTCCAACTCCCGACTCCGACTCCGCAGACCTAGCAGGGTTGCGGAGTCGGCAGATTTTCGGTGTCTTCGGCTCCGACTCCGGCTCGGGTTTCTAAAATCGACTCCGACTCCGACTCCGACTCCGGTCACAACTGTCGACTCCGACCGACTCCGACTCCGACTCCGACTCCGACTCCGCAGCCCTGGTACTTACAACGTACAACCTTCACCTTCAGCCTATAACCTACAACCTACAAAATCTGATGTGGCATACACGTGGCAAATATGACCTATGGCATATTTGAACGCCCTCTACGATAGCCATGGGCTGGTATCAGCTGTTGCGCGTCAGACAGCTGACTAAACAGCTGACAAACATCAGCTGACGTCTGAAACTAGAACTCGCAACAATCGTCACCACTTCACTGCCTCAGTGGTGACACTATGTATTTATGATCGCCAAGTGTCCCCGCCCGCCCCTCCCATTGGCCTCGTGTTTATCGTCTGAGCTGTATTACGGCTTTCCCAGTTGATACACTGCAGGTACATACCTTATCGGGTGCAGAGATACCGTATCGGCCATAGAAGTGTCCCGAGCCCCGCACAGGGTGTCGGCATGGATAACACTTGCATTGAGGCCCCGGGCGTCGGATAGCCGGACCTAGAGAGGAGCGATCTGCTGACCCCGTGATATCCACAAAGCACCGAGACAAGGCAAGTGTGCAAAACAGAGGAAATCGTTTGGAACAATACCCCTTGACTTCGCTCCTATAATGCATTCATTTATTGACGCTGCTTATAGTCGCACTTTTTAACTTGGGCAATTGTTGAGGGAGCGGGTTTCCACATACCCCTCATGATTTCTTGTGAATACCCCGCGACGGCAGGTCTTCCTGAGTCCATTGGCGGCTTTCCCGACTCGCTAGCTCAATTTGATCGGAAGTTATTGACAAAAACTAATATGACTTTGATGACGTCATAAATGACGTCACGCAAGGTCAACATTGCAAACGTGACGCATCTAACCTTGCAAGGCGTGCATCAAATCACGATTCTGGGTGCTTGAATAGTTGGAGATCGTTCCCGGCTTAGTTGGATATTTTTTTTCCATTGACTTATAATATGGTGAGGTCGCGAAAATGACCTGACCTCATATGACCTTTAGGAAAAATCCGAGATAAACAAGTTGTGAGACTCGTAATAGATACTAGATCCTTCAAATTTTAATTCCCTGTGAAAGCTCCTCTGGCAGTGACGGCGTTGCGAAGTTGCGACATCTGAAGACCGTGCAGAGGTTCCCTTATGACGTCATAGGTCAGTGACCTGACCTGGCCTGAAAACGCGGTTGGTGGCAAAAGATTCAGCTTGAATCAAAGGTCAGGTAGGTTAACCCTCGCCTGCGCATGGAGGGGGTGGTTGCCACCCCCCTCCCCCCGGTAGTCTTTCTGCTCTGCACTCGACATTTTTAGAGGCAGAAGGCTGATTTTTCGTATAGCTGCTCCTCTATCCTTTCTTGATGTCCACCGAAAATTTCAAGTTTCTGTGTTTTTTTTTGTTTCGGAGATATGACCTTGTTTTTTAGGTCATGTCATGACCCAAATGGCAAATTCTCAACATCTTACGTTTGCTATGGGCCTTGTGAGCTTTTGACACCTTGATTTCGGCCTTTTTTGCCAGTCTTACATACCTCCCACCTATCATGGAACATGTTGTTCGACGATGTACAGGTGTCGAGGTCAGGGTCAAGGTCAACCTAGGTCATCTAAGATAATTGCGTTTTAGGCTAGCTGAATTTACTTTTTGTGAAGTTTTTTGACTGCATTTTTGGTAAAAGCTTCTCTGATCATGATTTCATGTAATATGGACACATAAATAATCGGTGCACACATCGGTATACACACAGACACACACAGACTTACAAACACATATAATTGACCTTGACCTAGCTTGACCTGAAATGACCTCAGCAGCCCAAAATTCTGGTCGGGTAGTGTGACAAAGAGGTTCTAGCTGGCTTGGCACCAGAAAACGGCATCGTCATCGGTATATGATAAGCAGCGCACTTGATATCCAACGGTGACCCAAACCAGCAACATTTTTTAGTTTGACCTGACCTGGAAGGTCAATGACTGACCTGAGAAGGTAAAACTGGGTATCATTGGATTCGTCCCTTCCCAAAGAATCTTTTTGGTCTTTACCGCTAAGCTCTATCTCCAACAGGAACGAAATGGCGCGGGGGGGGGTGGCAATCACCCCCCCCCCCATGTGCGTTCTAGGATGGGAAAATGGCATGTGCGGGCGAGGGTTAAGTTTCGGCTCTCTATCGCCAGCGTGGTTGGAGCTATGGCGAAAAAAAACCTAATGGGGGCGGCACCCCCCTCGGCCCGCGAGGGGTAAATATCGAGGTCATAGATATCGTATCTTGTGCATCTTGATAAGCTCTTTTGAATGCCGTTTGAATTTTTCCGATCCGACTATTGCTACCGGATATACGACAGGGGGCCCTTGCCTCTTTGGGCCCTTCCCCCCCCCCCAAGCGAAACCAGGAACCCACCAGACCTCAACGAGGCGCTGGTTAAAACCACAATTAACTGGTGTATATTCCATAGCGCGAGGGACTGAGGAAGGGGGGAGGGAGGGGCTCAACAGAGCTCTCCTCTCTCCGAAGGAACTGTCTCGATTTTTTTAATTCAAAAAGCATTCGATAGCATTGTTAGAATGTAGAGCGAACCCTTTTTACCTCAATGTCACCGATGACGTCACAGGTCAGTTTAAAGTAAACATTTTCATAACTTAGGGGTGTTTACGCTTTGTGCTCTGGCCACTGAGAAGTTAAGTCTCATGAAGTTCATATTTAGTTTGGACACCCATGAATGGATGCTATGTAAAAACACCATTTAAGTGCCGAACAAGTATTTGATATGATTCAGAAAGGGCTCTATAGACCCCCGTCTCTGTCCCCCACCACCCCTGCCTGGCGGTGGCCCGTAACACCATGCTTCATGCGCTCGTTCTTCATGTATAACACCTGAACAATTAAGATGCCTAGAATCATGTGTTCCAGATGGAAATCGCAGCCGTTCGTGAAGAAATGAACTTTTTGCGCGAAGAAATGAAGGCTCTGCGCGAAGAAATGACCAATCAACGTGAAGAGACGAAGGGATGTAAGAGCGAGGTGACTAATTTGAAGACGGAGATGAAAAGACAAAAGGATGAGAACACCGCACTGCATAGTGAGGTGGTTCGCCTGCAGCAGGCAATGGTCGAGGAGCGCTCCACTCGTCAGACCGTCGTGGAGGAGCTGCGGCAGGAGGTCCGCCGGCTTACAGCGCCATTCGGCCGTCTGCAGGGGTGAGACTGGGAGGCAGCAGGAGTGATACTGGGAGGCAGCAGGAGTAAGACTGGGAGGCAGCAGGGGTGAGACTGGGAGACAGCAGGAGTAAGACTGGGAGGCAGCAGGGGGGGGGGGGGTGGGACTGGCTGCGTGCACTGGTGCGCAAATAGTCGTGGAGTGTTACTACTTTCCAGAATGAATTGCGAACTGTAATGCCCTAAATTGACTCCTGGGAAGGTGGATAAAAATGGTTGCGGATAGGGGTACCCGCAAAACGCCGGTTTACTCGCCGGCCTTGGGTAAACTTGTTTTGAGTGCGAGTAAATGGTCCCAGCACCCTCACAAGGAACAACGATAAGCTGTCAGAGGGCACGCACAGAAAACCTCAGCTGCCCTTGTACAGGGACCGGCAGTCGATATCAATGTTATCGGTTGTTACTGGACAGGACAGACGGCTAGAGTTGGGGTTTCGTGTAGAGTAGCAACTGCGGGTCCCCGTACTTACTGCACTCGGGGGGCAGGTTGATGTTCCACTCTTTATTCACCGGTTTCCTATGGCCCAGCATTGGCAGCAGTCGCCTGTTACCGGTAGACTCTGCCGCTTCACTTACTTGTCAAGCGGCACAGCCTACCCACACCGTATAACACCGGTCTGGGTCGGTGGCTGGAAGGCGGTATGGGGGAGCCTCGAAGTTTTGGTCACTCTCACTACTTATGTGCTTTGTCCCGGCTACGCCTGGGACGGGCTGTCGTGTAGCACTATCCGTACTTGGCCGCCAGGCTGGTGCCACGAGGGCAGGAGGAGGTCGTCGAGACGCAGGTGCCACTGGAGAGTGCAAAGGTGCGCGAACTGGAGGACCGACTGAGCCAGGCGCTGGTCGACCAGAAGAGGGCGGAGGATGACCTGAAGGTAACTTACCTCTGCTGTCCACTTCGGGTTAGCATCGTTGAGGTGTAGTTTAAACGAAATTTTACCATAACAATGGCCAACCAGCAATTCTTTCGATGTTGGGGAAAATTCAGAAAATTTCATGAATTTCGGCACTTTGGAAGAGGTAAATCCCACAAATGTCCCACGTTTCTTAGATTCGCCAGTCCATGTGCTAAGTGCGTCAGACATGAAGTCTGCGTCCCCTCGACCTTCGTTCGCGGCACATTTGACCCTCACGTTCTGCCCCATCTTCACTTTACAAATCTATTTAAGGAATCGCGCGCCACCAATTCCGCCACGGAGACCAAGCTGCGCGAGACTGAAGCGCGCAATGAGGACCTCATAAGCAAAACCAACGACCTGGAGCAGATCAACGCCTCACTGAAAAAGCGCTTGCACGAAATGGAACGCACAGTAAGTCTTCGACCGCTTAGCCACCTCATGCCCTGCCAGCAGGGCCTCCAGGTTGTATACCGTATAGGAATAGTGCAACTGCAATACATAGCCTGACTTATTACGAGCGAGTGAAGCAAGCGAAGTCTTACGAAGAGTAGCAGACATTTCCGAGCATGATCGGCCCACCGGACGTGGGCACGCTTTTGCGAAGCTTATGTATCCGCAACACCACTGAACCGATTTACTTGCGGTAATTTGTTAGGGTAGCTCCTTGCCTGCTCCCAACCATTAGACTATTGCCGATGCATGTGGGTGACCCATCATGCACGTACCACCGCAACGTGCAAAAACGAAGAGATGCCAGATTTTGTAATAATAGCAATCTCGGTAACTACTTGGCTGATTGCGGCAAAACTTGCAGTTGGGTAGGCACCCAATAGGCACCCACCAGACAATGCATTTCCATTTGTATGGTTGGGTTTGTAAGCTACCTCTGCACGTGCGCACGTGCTCTGCAGAGGTAGCTTCCAGATCTAGAAAACGGTTGAACCGATTTCGCTCAACTTCAATACAAGGCTAGAGGCAGATAGAACGGTGCCGTGCAAAAGTCAGTTGGGATCCAGTTTGCACGTGCGAACGTGCAGGCTGCCGCTTCCAGATCTCGAGAACGGCTGGGCCGATTTCGGCAAAATTTGGCACACTGCCTTAGCCCGCGAGTTGCTGGGGGGGGGGGGTGGCGTTAAACACCCCCAATTCTTTTTCGCCGCTCTTCAGCATAAAAACGGCGCCAAACTTTGGTTACCTGTAGGGAATTGATTGAAGCTTATCCCTCGCCGGCACGCGCCATTTTGCGTCTTTCGACAGCACAAGGGCGTTGGTGCGTGCGATCCCCTTCGCGTTTGGCCCCTGATCGAACTAGAGCTTCGCAGAAAAACGAGCGTGTTGCCCGTGACAAGAGAGAGCCGATGATACCCAATTTTAGGGTCCTAGTTCATCAGTTGACCTTCCAGGTCAGGTCAATGACTCAATCGTCGGGAAAATCGGGACCTGTTAGAACGTCGTAAAGCGTAGCTGCTAATGTAAGTCATTATCATAGATGGTGTCTTCATGCATTTAGGCCAGGTCGGGTCAGTTCAGGTCAGGTCAACCAGCCAGGTATTCGTGGTAGGTGGCAACCGCCTCTGACAGCTTCGTAACATGTTACGAAAGCACCAAAACTACTTAGTGAATGTTTGAACGTTTGCTTAATTCGAATTCAGCTAAAAAACTAGCATAGAAACATGTAAACTCGACAAAGTGAGCCGAGGTCATCAAAGGTCAATGACCTGACCTGACCTTCCAGTGACCATGACCCGCACCCTAGTGCATGGGAGCAACAGCATATCCCATGTTCGAAAGCTTAACCCGCGCATGACTGGGGTATATTCCATAACGCGAGTGACTGGGGGGGGGGGGGCTCTCCAGGGCCTCCCCCCCCTCTTATCGCCGAAACTACCAAGCCGATCGTCAAAATTCAAACGGCGTCTGATAGCGCTGGAAAAACTGTCGAGTAAAACCCCTTTTAATTGACCTCGAGTTCACCGATATGACGTCACAGGTCAGGTTAAGGAAAAATTATCGGCATTTTTGCTTGTTTAGAATTTAGGCTCTTGCCGCCGGCTGACAAATTCGATCAGGCTCATTTTTGGTTTACGCACTCCTTGGTATATGCCTTAGATACCCTGATGGTACCGAACTTTTACTTCGAACTTTTGCAGGTCAAGGCCAGATCATCCTAGGTCACGAAAATTGTATGTCATGTATCGGTCACGTGACGCATGTTTTATGGTCAATTTTACACGTAGATTTCGAAAATAATGTCGTATGTGTCATTTAAGGTCATTTTAAGCTGAAATTACCGGAGGTCAGGTCAATTTCAGGTCAGAAAAGTCAAATTTTGAAAATGTTTTTTTTCAACAAAAAAAGGTGCCTATAAGATGCAGTTTGAGCTCAGCAACACAATGGTGCCATTTATGTATATTTCTGTACGATGTAAAAAACGTACTGAAAAATGGTTTTGAAAAGAATATAGGTAATTGTAAAATTTTGACAAAATACAAATAACTTGGCTATTTTTGAAGATATTGGGCTAAAACTTGCTAGAGTAGTTCATCAGTGTGTTTTATATCACATATATTCCAGTTTTTGCAAAAAAAAAAATCAAAAACGTTTTGAAAAAATCAGTAAGTATATTTTTTGTAATTGTAAAAACATATTTTTCAAAATTTTAAGCTTTTGAAAATTTGAGATAGCAGTTTGATAGCTACGTGTATTTGTAGTCCACTGATGTAAAGAAATTGGATCTAGCTTTAAAACTACGCTCTTGAGAGCGTTTGCCATAATTCAATATTTTTCATCAAAATCGGCCGACATGACGTCACTCTGACGTCATTTCTGGCCAAACTATGGTAGATAGAAAGTTGAAATTATATCACAAGGTGTCAAATTGATGCCGCTGAAGGTAATGTAAGTTTCGTGTTGATCCGTGGAACGGCTTAGAAGATATTGCCGAAAAACGGGAGGGGCTCTGTAGAGCCTCCCCCCCCCCCCCCCCAGTCATGCGCGGGTTAAAACGACGAAAAGACTGCAAACGCGCGGCTAATGCGAGCCGACATACGCCGAATCGCGATTCCGGCCAAACAAGGTCTCGAAAAATACTTCACAGGTCAAAGGTCATTTGGGTCAGGGTCATAAAATTTTTAGGGTGGATGTAAAATTGATTAACGCGAGGGTACCCAAAGTTTCGTGGCGATTGACAGTTTTTTTTACACGAGTTATTCGCGAAAAACCATGGGGGCGTCCATTCGACCCCCCCCCCCCCCACACACTATACAGGTGAAGGTTAGCCTATCTGTCGGGCATTGACCTTAGCTGATCCTGACATAGTAATATATAAACGTACATGTGATCTCGGAATTTTGAGCTTACCTCATCTTTGCCCTCTGCTCCCACACCTTACCATACAGGGTGTCCCATAAGTTCGTTCTCACCTTATATTTGCATGTACAACAGAGTACATTGCGTTTTGATATGTTTATGACCCCTCAATGTGCTCCCCATTTCATGGACAAACACATGAATACATGCTGCGGCATGCCAACCGGCATGTTTGGCAGCATAGCAGGCTTGAAGTTAGCCCAGACTATCTTGACATGCGCCGTGAGCTCCTCGAGGCTGGAACACCGCTTCGCTTCGACGAGCCTCGATTCAATATTTCCAACACATTTTTATGATATTTGGATCCGATGAGTTGCCTGGGATGTGATCTTGCCACAGACGCCTATCACAGTCTCCTGACACTGCTTTTAAGATTTGCTTGGCCTCTGCACTGATGCACTGTCTTGCTTGAAGATGGGCCTACGACCTCCCGGATACCATTTCCTCCTAAAAAAATGTGTTCATAATTGCGGTTCGAGTTAAGCTGGAAGGCTGAAACTCCTCCAAGATCTTCTTGGTGAAGCATTCTGCGTCCCCGACACTGTTTCTGGAGTATCAATCGGAACCTGCTCAGCGTCTGGACGCATTTTACCCCACATTACCGTGACCCTGGCCTTTTGCATAGGAATAAAGCGTGATGACACGAAGGCCTTTTCCGTCGCTCATATGGGACCGTTTTGGGGTTTGGACGGGTGTTTTATCTCGGACACGGACTGAGTAGTCCAGATGACCACATTGATGTCATCAGCCCTGCAGTTTTTTAGCCTCAGGCATAAGGAAACAAATGTTTGGCCATTTTAAGACATTTTCGACTGTTTTGCGTCCTCCGTTAAGTTTAAGCCCAAGTGACCGTGAGTTGTGTACCCCGAAATAATACTCTTAGACAGCTGGTAATCCATCCTGAAAAGCCTGCTTACCAACTTTCTAACGCTAAGACCTTTTTGACGGCCACTTTGGCGCCACACAGTTTTAACCACATGGCTCACTCCTGAGAGCTGACAAAAAAAGAGCATAAACTTGCAGCGATTGCCTCCCGACAAATCATCGGCGTCACCTGCTGACTGTGCGTCCAGTTAGCGACAGACATTGGCTACAGACTGGATGGCCTAAATCACCCTCAACCGTCGCGAATGGCCCACGTGCGGACTAAATACCGAGACGTACCCGTATCGGAGACCTCTATGTTGCGGCGTAAGCCGTCTCCACAGGAAGTGAATTCTCTAGCAAAAAACATTTTGTCTAGACGAATTAGTTACCGTGGAGCATATTCACAGTTGCCATGGCAACCCCAAAAGCTCAGTTACAAAATAAATTAAGCGTTGCTTTAAATAAGAGAGCCCCTAAAAGAAAAATATAGGTGAGAAGGAACTTATGGGACACCCTGTATGCTCTGACTTGAGATGTGACTAATGACCTGACCTTTCCCGGCAGCTGGATCACGAGCGGTCGTCGAGCAAGGACAAAGATGAAGTGATAAAGCGTCAACTGGAGGAGATGCAACAGCAAAAGGAGAAGCAACAGGCTCTGATGAACACCAAAGTGGCACTAGATGCGGAGATATCTGCCTTTAACAAGCTGCTCGAGTCTAAGAATACCAGGTTAGTGCAGCCGCCGACGATGGGGTGAGCATTGCCATGTGTAGGTTGAGCTTCACTTCCATGCACCTTTACCCATTTGTGTGTGGCCTTCCAGGGTTCCCTTTCTTTCTGCTGTCTCTGCCTGTGCGTCTGTCTTGCAGTGGTCTTCAGCATCTTCTTTGCCTGTGTACATTTTTTCAGTTTCTGTCTGTCTGTCTGTCTGTTTGTCTGTCTGTCTGTCTCTCCCCCCCTCTCTCTCCTCTATCATTCCCGTATCATCCCCTCTATCATTTTGCCGGTCCCGTAGCTCAGTCGGTAGAGCGTTGGACTCCGCGAGGTGACAGCTCGCGTCCCGGTTTGACAGTCCGGGTTCGAAGCGCAATGGGCACTCGATGTTTATGAGCCTCCTGGCGGGTATGGTTGCGGTTGGTGGCAGGCCGTAGCCAGACGAAGTCAGTGAGGGGACTGGCCGTGCGCGGCTATGTGCGTACGTTAAACTTCGGACTCTAAATTCTGCCATAGATCAGGAATTGCGCGATCGGAGGGTAGAGGGCAGGGTCATCGCAACAAGCTCTGCTTAGCGGTGGCTCTGTCCTTGTGAATCCTTCCATTCAAAAGGTTGGGACTAAATTTATAAAAAAATCCCTCTCTCTCCCCCCCCCCCCTCTCTCTCTCTCTCTCTCTCTCTCTCTCTCTCTCTCTCTCTCTCTCTCTCTCTCTCTCTCTCTCTCTCTGTCCAACCCTCCCTCCCCTTCCCTTCGGCACCAACCCTCCCTCCCCTCTGCAGGGTAGCGCTTGCTTAGTTAACACGCGCGCCGACGGGGGGGCGGATATCCGCCCCCCCCCCCTGAGGTTTTTCGCGGATAGCGGGAAAACCGCGGCGCGTAGCGCCGCGAAACTTGGTACGACTATTCTCTTATCAATTTTACACATGGTGTGCAAGTTTGAACCTCCTAACTTTGAAGGTCGGGTCACCAGGTCACTGAATGACCCAACCTCAAGTCAGTTTTTGCAACTTTGTCACCGTGCCAGAGCTACAGTAGATGTCGGAGGCCTTTGAAAGTCGCAGGATGTTATTAGGTCATTAGTAGCTACAATTTGTATATCTCCGAATTTTGATGTCGGTGACCTAAGGTCAGGTCAATTTCGCGACCTCCCCATTATAAGTCAATGGGGAAAAATCAACTCCCTGTTTTTACCACTAAAACGGGTCGGAATGGCCCCATATACCATACATGACTTCATATACGATCAACCTTCACTACCTTAAGGTCTTTTTTGCTGTTGGGCAGCTGTAAGGTCATGTGACGTCATCAAAGGTCACCAAAGGTTTTTTGCCAATAACTCCGTACAGGAACAAGATACAGCCGCGCGGATGGTCTCATTGTGTTCAGCCCGTCAAGACGCATCGAATGATATACATGATGACCTCGATGTCACGTGACCTGAGGTCAACCTTTGACCTTGACCTTTCGAGGTCAACATATATATCATTCGATGCGGATTGACGAGAGGATCACGATGATGCCCTTAGTTTGTTCCTATCATGACTAATTCGAAAGTTATTCGAGAAAAACTCTCTCCTTATCTAGCGCCGCCATTTTGACTTTTTCGACCCCTGTGACGTCATCTTTGACCTCCCCCGTCGGTGCGCGGGTTAATTAATGTTTATAGCGCTATGGCTATGCTTATTTAACGATTGATAGTTAGCAACAGATGACCGCTTCATTTAATCCTGACATCAATGGCTGTTTTCAGCATAAAGAAGCTATGTTTCCCGCCGGGCCTGAGCGAGAAATCGCTGACAAACATCCTGCAGAACTCCGAGGGTATGGAGGAACTGACCGTGACTGCACCCTCCGACTCAACGGGGCAGTGGGTGCGACTACTTCCACCGTCCTTGGGAAGGCTGGACGTTTTCGGTGAGGTCCTGCAGAGAGAGAGGAACCGAATAAGTTCAATTCTGACTGGGGAGAAGCGAGCAGACAGTTGTAGCTGAAGATATATGTTTTATAATACCTAGCATCAATTGTAATATTTATTTAATAACAGTCTTAGCAAAGCATCCGATCTTTATTAAATTTCAATGGGAGTATCGTAGCCTCTCTCATGTATCAATTAGGCATTATCAGCATTACAACAGATTTGTAGGCATATCAATTGCAGTCGTTTTGCACTCTACCTGTATTGTGTTACATTCTATTTCAGATAAATTTCCTCAACTCATCATGTTGAGGTCAGAAGTCACCTCTATACTTTCCAAGTGCCAAATTGAACAATATATGTGTTCGTTTACATATTATTATAGGTAAAGGTACTGACCAATAGCAATGCATCGCATAAGCACAGGCAATGCAAAACTGCTCAGCAGTGTCAAGTCGGCTGTGTTGGTGCCAGTGTCGGCTGTGTCAGTATAAGTGTCGTCTACATCAGTGTTTGACACCATAATGTCAGCGGCCTCCCGACCCGGCGGCAGCTCCGCCCGACCGCAGTCAGCTGACGCGGCTCTCTCTCCGACAGGACCGGGGGAGACGGGGGAGCCGCAGACTCTGGTAAGACGGCCCGACCATGGGCTGACGGTCGTCATAGGACAGGCGGACAACGACGTCATCAACCAGCTGGCCAAGGAGCTGGGACCACGGGTTACCAAGCTGACCATGTTCAGTGAGTGGCGGTGGTTTGGACAGTTTATCGGTATGAGTGGTTAGGTATAGTGATGACACCGAGTAGCCGTGCGTGGTAACACCGTCCCAGCAGAGGTGAACCAGGAATGAATATACGGGACCAGACATGTGCATAGATCCGAGTGCTGGATCTATGATCTCAGTGGGTCTCGCAGTAAACTGCAGACTAGGATCCATGATCCCACAGGATCCGGCGTGGAAAAAATTATTCTGGATCTATGATCTCATAGCACCTGACGATAAATCAAGAACGTGGATCTGTGATCTGAGTGGATCCCGCCACGAAAAACATTTGGAACCAGGTTTACAAGTGTTTCTAAGCCAATTAGTGCCACAAAACTATGGATTATGACATGCAATCACATAAAATCACTAAAACAGAATGTTTGTGAGCTGCAACAAGTGATTTTTTGGGATATCTGTGTTGACGAAAAATAAGCGAGGATCTTTGATCTCAATGGATCCCAAGCAAAAAAAAAATAGACTCTGATCTATGAACCCTACGGATCCCTCGACAAATCAAACAGCTGGATATATGATCCCGTCGGATCCGAGATCAGGATCCGTGGGATCAGATCCCAGATCCATTTTCTCGGACCCATGCACATGTCTGTACGGGACAGTTCATCCAGGTACCTTAGAATGGTATGATGTCAACGGTTTATATGACATATTCAGAGGTGGTTATCTGCATGTGTGATTTCATGTGCAATGCTGATTGATATTAGTTTAGTCGATTACACAATGTGCTTTGTTCCTCAAGAAAGTCATGTATGGTCAGTAACAGTGCCAGAATAGGTTAACGATGTGAGTGGTTGAATATGTAATGAGCACAGACTAACGTAAAGAAGACCGTTTGGTCACTTGGACGTAAAAGTTTTGTGGTGTGATGACCACCATGCGTTCATGCCAACCACCGCACGTGGCGCGTGGTAAAGTTGGACATTTTTTTAAGAACCCCCAAATTGCAACCTCAATAACGGCACAACGGCTGGGCCGATTGAATTGAAACTCGGTACACAGTTAGGTCTCCATCAGATAATTCATCTGCATGTGTTAACCCGGCGGCCGCTGGGCCTCTGCGCCACCCGCCGGCCGCTGGGGGGGGGGGGGGGGGCATATAGTTGCCCCCCCTTTACTTCTGCGACGATATTGTCGCAAAGCGAAGAGATAGAGAAGCGAAACTTTGCACACATCTTTCGGAATACCTAGCCGAGGTTGTGTCCAAATTTGGTGTTGATCCCATTTGAAATGACGTCACAGTGACGTCATAAGTGAAATTATAGATTTGCGACTCTCATATTCCTCACGATACATCAGATATATGGGACCGAATATAAAGGACCCATTATTAGCTGCGTTTACATAGGGCTAGTTGCCAGATAGTGGAATTCCGGTACCGAGACATTTATTCCACTAACGAGACATTGCAGGCACATTCCGCTAGTTCTGACGACCTATCCGGCCAGAAGGCCGCATAAGTCGTCAGAAACAGCGGAATGTGCCTGTAATGTCTCGTTAGTGGAATAAATGTCTCGGTATCGGAATTCCACTATCTGGCAACTAGCCCTATGTAAACGCGGCTATTGGTAAGAAACTAGATGGAAGTGTAGTTAGATGTTTTAGGATGACAGCAGGTGCTGTCTAGTTCATTTACAGTTGAGTTTCATGCTCAGCGTCATCAGAAACGGTCCATATCGGAAAATGGCAAAACTTTATGACGTCACTGTGACGTCATCTTAGGTGCTACAACCACCAAACTTTTTTTCAAACATTGCCTAGGTATTCATTTGAAGCTATGCCAAGTTTCACGTTCGTAGCTCATCAGGTTTCGGAGATATTTCACAAAACGTAAAGGGGGGGGGCAACTTTATGCCCCCCCAGCGGCTCGTGGGTTAAGGTTGGGGTGCTACTGCACGTGCGCACGTGCAGGGGGCGTTTCCAGATCTCGAGAACGGCTGGGCCGATTGCGCTTAAATTTGGTACAGGGTTGGGGACCGGTTAGTAGGGTGCCGTGCAAAAGTCATTTTGGACCCCGTTTGCACGTGCGCACGTGCAGAATGCCGCTTCCAGATCTCAGGAACGGCTGGGCCGATTGCGTTCAAATTTGGCACACCGCTAGCGACCGGTTAGAAGGGGGCTTTCCACAAGCGCGTTGGAAGTATCCTGTGACCCTTCCGCGCATGCAGGGCACACTATCTCGCTCGCTCGTTCTTCGCCCAAAAGGCGTTTTACTGGTATCATAGATAACATGAACTACCTGGATTGGACACTCGTTTTTGGCGCGAAAAATAAGAGGCCACTTTGGCCTCTTATTTGTAATGACGGATTTTTAATCAATCTTTTGAGAGGCTGATATCTCAGCAATCGCTGGGCCGATTCGCCTGCGGTCGTTTTTGTTGGGTAGCTCCATCCTTTCTGCCCCGCAATTCGCTTATCGTGATGCATTCAGGTGACCGTCGTGGCACGTGGCACGTGAAAAGTCGGGGTGTTCAAGTCGTTCTGCTGGAGTAACAATTTTGAGAGGCCTATATCTCAGTAACCACTGGGGCGATTGACTTGCGGTAACTTTTGTAGAGTAGCTGTATCCCTTCTAACAAACATTGGATACTCTTGGTGCACGTGAGTGACCCCCGCTGCACGTGCAAAGTGCAAAAAACAGTAGAGGTGTTAAATGTGTTCCCATTACAGTAACTCAGCAACTACTGGGGCGATTTCGCTGAGACTTGGCATTCATGTAGGCAGTAGGCACCCACCGGGCAATGCATATCCATATGTCATGGTTGGGGTGCTATTGCACATGCGCACGTGCAGGGGTCGCTTCCAGATCTCGAGAACGGCTGGACCGATTGCGCTCAAATTTGGTACACGATTAGAGACCGGTGAGAAGGGTGCCGTGCAAAAGTCAGCTTGGACCCATATTGCACGTGCGCACGTGCAGGGTGCCGCTTCCAGATCTCGAGAACGGCTGGGCCGATTGCACTCAAGTTTGGCACCTCGCAAGAGACCAGTAAGTAGAGTGCCGTGCATCGGGGAGGTTGTAGCTCTGCGCGTGCTCACGTGCTCACGTGACACCCCTCTGTCATATCTCAGAAACGGACTGACCGATTGCAATGAAATTTAGTGTGTGATTGGATACTGAATGTGCATGAGTTTTTCTAAGTCGATGAAGGTGAGGTAATGCACGTGCGCACGTGCAGGGGTCGCCTCCAGATCTCGAGAACGGCTGGACCGATTGCGCTCAAATTTGTCACACGACTGGAGGCCGGCGAGAAGGTTGCCTTACCAAAGTCAGTTGGGACCCATATTGCACGTGCGCACGTGCAAGGTGCCGCTCCCACATCTGAAGAATGACTGTGTCGATTGCAATCATATTTGGTACATTGCAAGAGACCAGTTGGTAGTGTGCCGTGCACCGAGGAGCCTGTAGCTCCGCGCGTGCTCACGTGCGCATGTGCGCACCCATCTGTCATATCTCAGGAACGGACGGACCGATTACAATGAAATCTGGTGTGTGATTGGATGCTGACCGTGTATGAGTTTTTCTAAGTCGACGAAGGTGTGATAATGCACGTGTGCACGTGCACGAGCACAACCAACATTAACAGCTTAAAAACTGGAAGGCCGATTTCGATCAAATTTGCCGTGCGATTAGGGGATAAGACAACAAATTGCATTGACTGTGTGCATCAGAATAAGTGTGAATATGCTCAACCCATTTTTAGAGCTGAAAAATGAGCACGCTGGTGGTGATCAGATTCGGTTCATAATCGATAGCGTAGCTCACTCAGGCTGGGTAGTACGCTCAGGTCAGGTATATACCTGACCTGACTGAAATCCCCAGTCTGAGCGAGCTACGCTATCGATTATGACCCGAATCTGATCACCATCAGCCTCTGCCCGTTTTTCAGCTCTAAAAATGGGTTGTGCACCTTCATATGTGCATACTCACACCCATTATGATGCACACAGTCAATTCACTTTGTCATCTTATCCCTTAATCGCACGGCAAATTTGATCGGAATCGGCCTTCCAGTTTTTAACCCGCGCCCTGCTGGGGGGAGTGTTTGAACACCCCCCCCCTTGTGGTTTTTCGCGAATATCTCAAAAACGGCGGCGCTCCGCGCCGCCGTTTTTGGTACACCTTATCATACATCAATTCTACACAGGTTGTGAAAATTTCAGACCAAGGTCATTCAAGGTCAGGTCACCAGGTCACTTGAAGTGACCTCACCTCATAAAAAGTTTCAATGTCTGTCATAGCTACACCGAGTGACCGATCGCTTTGAAACTTTCAGCGATTGCTAAGAGCAATAGCATGTACAAAATGTATATCTCAGAATTTTGATATCGATGACCTAAGGTCAGGTCCATTTTGCGACCTCCCCATTATAAGTCAATGGGAGAAAATTGAAATGCGCCTCTTTTGGACGAAAGACATTATAAACACTCCCAAACACTGAATTACAAGTGGTTTAGACACACTGAACATGAAAATGGTGTCCGTGACCCTTGTTTATGCCCTGAGGTCATCTTAGGTCACGAATGGTATCTAACAGTTTTTTGCAAATAACTTTTGATAGAGGCATGCTAGAGCGATGAAAACGCCTTAGATGTGTTCAGCTCGACGATACGGATCGACTGATATGCAACATGACCCTTTCCGGTCAGGTCATGACCTTGACCTGAGGTCAAATTTTCAAGTTGACCTTTCAAGGTCAAGTTATAGTTCATTCGATGCGTCTTGACGAGAGGAACACGATGCCGGTAAAAATAAGCTCGTACAAGGCTTGGGTCAAAAGTTATTGCAGAAAAGCTGTTTCCGAAAAAATCGGCTATTTTTGCAGTTTTTGCCCCCTGCAGGCAAAACCGTTGACGTTAAGTCAAATCTGAGAAATTACTCAGAAAGGGCGTTAATAGGGCTATCGAATGCGCTTTTCCGCGGCGCTGTAGCTCTATTGGTTCCCGAGTTATGCGTTGGCTTCTTGGAAATTGTCGACATTCGACCTGGAAATCGGCGAAATTTTGCCTTCAATGACCTCTGGTGACCTGACCTTTGACCTGGCCAAAAAATTGACCGAAGTGATTTCCTCATTATTTTTGACGCTCTTTCGAACGCCGCCTTCCGCGTATCGCTACGTGGCCCAGGAGCCGAGTTAGAAGGGGGGGGGGGTGTTCAAACACCCCCCCCAGCAGGGCGTGGAAATCCAGGACCCCCAGCCGGGCGCGGGTTAAGCTGTTGCTGTTGGGTGTGTACTTGCGCACATGCATATTCAGTGCTGGAGCACACAATTAATGCACTTTGTTATTTCCGAATCGCACACCAGTTTTTACTTAGATCGGCTTGTCCGTTTTTAGCTGTAAATGTGGGGTGTGTGCACGTGTGCACGTGCATTATCACACCTTCGTCGACTTAGAAAAACTCATACACGGTCAGCATCCAATCACACACAAAATTTCATTGTAATCGGTCCGTTCGTTCCTGAGATATGACAGATGGGTGTGCACGTGCGCACGTGAGCACGCGCAGAGCTACAGGCTCCTCGGTGCACGGCACCCTACCTATTGGTCTCTTGCGATGTGCCAAATATGATTGCAATCGACACAGCCGTTCTTCAGATGTTGGAGCAGCACCTTGCACGTGCGCACGTGCAATATAGGTCCCAACTGACTTTCGCAAGGCACCCTTCTCGACGGTCTCTAATTGTGTGACAAATTTAAGCGCAATCGGTCCAGCCGTTCTCGAGATCTGGAAGCGGCACCCTGCACGTGCGCACGCGCAATATGGGTCCCAACTGACTTTTGCACGGCACCCTTCTCACTGATCTCTAATCGCGTACCAAATTTGAGCGCAATCGGTCCAGCTGTTCTCGAGATCTGGAAGCGACCCCTGCACGTGCGCACGTGCAATAGCACCCCAACCATGACATACGGATATGCATTGCCCGGTGGGTGCCTTAACTGCCTACATGAATGCCAAGTCTCAGTGAAATCGCCTCAGTAGTTGCTGAATTACTGTAATGGGAACAAATTTAACACCTCTTCTGTTTTCTTGCACTTTGCACGTGCAGCGGGGGTCACTCACGTGCACCAAGAGTATCCAATGTTTGTTAGAAGGGATACAGCTACTCTACAAAAGTTACCGCAAGTCAATCGCCCCAGTGGTTACTGAGATATAGGCCTCTCAAAATTGTTACTCCAGCAGAACGACTTGAACACCCCGACTTTTCACGTGCCACGTGCCACGACGGTCACCTGAATGCATCACGATAAGTGAATTGCGGGGCAGAAAGGATGGAGCTACCCAACAAAAAAGACCGCAGGCGAATCGGTCCAGCGGTTGCTGAGATATCAGCCTCTCAAAATACTGATTAAAAATCCGTCATTAAAAATAAGAGGCCAAAGTGGCCTCTTATTTTTCGCGCCAAAAACGAGTGTCCAATCCAGGTAGTTCATGTTATCTATGCTGGTATCTATGTCGAGACGGGTGAATACCACCGACGACGGGTATGTCAGCAGATATGATACCACTCGTGCTGGGTGTGTGGAAGTAGTGTGGTGACATTTAAAGGTAGTGTGCCAGCTTTCCTGGACCGTATGGAGTTAATGGCCCAGATAAGGAGAACCGGATTTTTAGAACTTATCCATACCTTCAAAACTCATGGAAACGTCTTAAATTCTTCAAATTTTGAGTACCCCAGTGCGAAATTCGCCCCGACGGGTTGTCGGTCGTACCCCAACCACATTTCACACCACTATGAACAATAAATGCACACACTGAAATCGCTATTACCGATATGCTCATCCAATCAAGTTTCGATAAACCCGTTCATCATCATCTCCTGCGGTTTCGAACACGCCTGTTAGGTGGTGCGGTAGACCGCGCCCAAAGCCAGGGCCCCGGTAACGTGAGGTAGCCGAGTCGGGGCAGCGTGCGCTGACCCAAGCCGGGGCCGCGCGTCCTCCCGGTGTCATGTGATAGCCCGGGGCTGCCCGCGGGGATGCGGTAGACCGCGCCCAAAGCTGTGGCCCCGGCTTGGGTCAGCGCACGTTGTCCGACTCGGCTACCTCACGTTACCGGGGCCCTGGCTTTGGGCGCGGCTTCTGCTCATACTTTGTGGTGCGGTGGTGGTGCGTCGGGCCGCGCGCTCTGACTTCGGCCAAGAAAAATGCGTCAGCTGATCATTGTCATTTCTGCCACTTGCATGTGGTGAAATGGGGTCATAACTTAAGAGACGGCTTTTTCATATCAATTATTTTACATAAAATCATATTTCAAACCATAAATAATGTTTGACAGCCAAATAAAAGAAACAATACCAATACAGGCTTACAGTTTAAGGCTCGACATTGTGTTGTCTACGATTAGACAGCTGATAACTCATTCCCGTACGTCGTAACTCTATAATGACCTTTGCTTATTGTCACATGTGCGCCGCATTCGCGATTGTTGCCGACGCCTGTTTGCAGGTCAGCCCACTACAGTTGTTATACATATCGAAAAACCGATAAACTTTTAGGCGAAAAAGGCACTATTCCAGGCCCATTTTTGATTTTCTTTGCGATATTAGGTAAAAACAGAAGCTTCGTATCCTAGGAAAAATAAAATGGGAAATCTTTCAAAGGTGGCACACTACCTTTAAGGGAACAAGTATGGATATGTAACTCACCAGATAGGTATGTAAAGATGTCATTCCACTTACCATGCTAGTTGCTACTGTTTATGCCGATGTCGTATTGTGCCATAAGCGCAACACACTAATATGCATAATGGTTATTATTTCCCACACCATTCAACTACCATGTCTGTATGTGTTTGTTTCCCAGACTGCCCGTGTGTCACCACTTGGGCCTTACAGAGGCTGCTGTCCGCCCTCACCGGCCTTGAAGACGTCACACTCGACTGCTCTCTGTCCGGCGCCATCACTGACGCCTCACTGGCTGCCCTCCACGGCTGCTCCCAGCTGAGTGGGCTGCAGCTGGGGCGGGTCAGTGGACTATGTACTTATATACCGGTCACAGCGGTCAGCAGGTCAGTTAGCTGTACATCGAGACCAGACCCAGACCAGACCAGACCAGACCCAGACCAGACCCAGACCAGACCAGACCCAGACCAGACCCAGACCAGCCACAGACCAGATCCAGACCATACCCAGACCAGACCCAAACATAGACCCAGACCAGACCAAGACCAGACTCGACAAGACTCAGACCAACCAGACTTCAGACCCAGACCTAGACCCAGAACAGACCCAGACCAGACTCGAATAGACTCAGAACAGACTTAAACCAGACCCAGACCAATAGAAACAAGCACGCATTGTCTGTATGTGTGCTAGGGCTATGTACTATGGATATAACCAAAGCATTTATTGCATAAATATACATAAGCAAACCATTAGTTTTATCATAGATATCATGACATATACGGAAGTCTATGGTTGTATGGATTGGGTTGCCTGCACAATGCACGTTGCTATTATCATCCATAGGTATATGCACGTGATCTATGTAATATCAGCTAGCACACTGTCTACTGCATCGGCCCCAGTCTCAGACCGGACCCGAACGCCGAACCCCAAGGCCCAACCGGACCGGACCTGACTTGAACTGGCCCTGTGGAGACCGGACCAGTCCCCTACAGACGGCCGGTCGGCCGGCTGGTGTCGCTGACTGGCCTGTGTCCTGTGCTGTCGCAGACTGGTGGTTACCTGTCGGAGACTGGAGTTGCTGTTTCTTTTCACAACGGATGAGCTCAGTCAGACGGTCCTGGACGCCCTGGTCCAGGCAGACCTGGGGAAAAGTGATGACGGCACGCCGAGAACACTGAGGTTCAGGGTCCTCGGTAAGTGACGGCGCCGCCCAGCGCTTCTGATCAGTCCCACAACAGACGGCTCGGCGCCACCGGCCTCTCGGAGCCGCTGTCGCACACTCTCTCAACGGGTCGAGATGAGCACATGACGCTGATGTGACGCCACAACTGATATAAACAGCATAGTGGCGTCACTTTAAGCTTGAATCTGACCTGTGTGACACCACTGGCTGTTGGGGAGTTGCATTGTGCAATAAGCATGTCAGATATATCGCGGTCTTTTTGTGTTTTCGCTCCACTGTGTGCATGTTTTGTTTACAATGACACACACAATGTGAAAGATACTCTTAGTGTAATAAGTGTAGGTAGTGCAATTGAAAGCAACTGGAGGTTATTGGTTTTGTTGCTAATATTTGTATAACCTTTGATTGAGCAAAGATGTAAACAAGAAATCAGTACAGTGTACTGTACTCATTGTAATAAATGGACAGCCAGCGCTGTTCAGCGCATGTGCTGTTTGTGTTCCGGTGAGACGTCGTCACATCAAACATTTACGTTAGAGTTATGTGTGACGCTGCATAATGTTTGCGCTTTGTGAGGCTGCATATAAGATGTATCCATTTATACCGTGAGAGACCACTTCGCCATTGTGTATGTCGAGTTGTGGTCATCTTCGACAGTCTTGTCTCCTTATGTAACTCTTTCACTTCAAACCACTACCTACCTATATTTCTCGTCTTGTCCACAGAACCTGCATATGGGAAGCTGAGACAGAGGTCCACCAGCAGCATCAAAGTATTGAAGTGTAACTAGAAGTATCATTCAAAAATACCTCGCCGACTCAGAAAGCGCCTACAGCAGTCATCCTCAGTGAGTTCTGTTCTCTCGATTTTAGGACTAAAGTACGTATCGCTAAAGTACGTAGGACAAAAGTACGTATGCAAATGTTCGTACGCAAATATACGTAGGCGCTAAAGTTCGTATGCCAAAAGTACGTACGCAAATGTTCGTACGCAAAAGTACGTATGCAAAAGTACGTAGTGCATAAAGTACGTATGTCAAAAGTACGTACGCAAATGTTCGTACGCAAAAGTACGTATGAAAAAGTACGTAGTGCATAAAGTACGTATGCCAAAAGTACGTACGCAAATGTTCATACGCAAAAGTACGTATGTAAAAGTACGTAGTGTAAAAAGTACGTATGCCAAAAGTACGTACGCAAATGTTCGTACGCAAAAGTTCGTATGCAAAAGTACGTAGTGTATAAAGTACGTATGCCAAAAGTACGTACGCAAATGTTCGTACGCAAAAGTAAGTTTGCAAAAGTACGTAATGTATAAAGTACGTATGCCAAAAGTACGTACGCAAATGTTCGTACGCAAAAGTTCGTATGCAAAAGTACGTAGTGTAAAAAGTACGTATGCCAAAAGTACGTACGGTTCGTATGCCAAAGTACGTAGTGTATAAGTACGTATGCTAGCAGTGGGGTATAGTAGTGTAAGTTGAGCCACTTTTTCTTTATTGCTGCCCTGTTGCCATACTACAGGGAACTCATGATAAATTCATATAGGTACCAAATAATATAGCTTTGTCCCTTTCGCCCATTTACTCATCGATAAATTTTGCTATGCCTTGTAACAAATGCTCATTAAATAAAGAATAAGAAAGGTATTACACATTGATCAACTTACCCCATGGGTGGGGTGCGTACTTTATACCCTACGTACATTTGCTATACGTACTTTTGTCCGTGACGTACTTTGGTCCACACGTAGGGTAGACCGGGGCAAGTCGCCCCGCCGAGGTAAAACGCCTGGCGGCCTCACCGATGTTTCTCGGAACTGACAGGGTTCTGGGGAAAGATCCTCTCTTCTGTTAAACGTGCACTACATATATGATCATTATATGAGCAGACTGGAAAGAAATTGTGATAACTCTCTAGGGAAATATAGCCAAAAATGTGTTTTTTGAGTGATTTTTATGTTTGGTCATCTGATTATGCACCATCGCGTTCTTTTGTAGTCCACATCAGGTTAACGACTTTTATGTATTTTGAACAACTATTGTCTAACGCTTATAATGCCGGGTTGGTTCGTGTTAAATTATGTCTTGCTGGATCGCAAGGCGTTGTTCGCTGACCGAACTACGTGATGGGGTAAAACGCCTCAGTAGGTCGCGGGGCAAAAAGCCCCATGGGGCGTTTTACCTCGTGTGTTGTTCGGACTACCCACTTCCTAATGTTCGGTAGCTGGCGAACAGCAAGTTTCTATGCATTTATATGTATTTTTCTCAGCAACTGTATGGCAAAGGAAGTGTATTGTTAACTGATTTGCATTGCAATAATGTATTATTTGGCCTTATGAGGCACATGAAAAACCTGCTCATACAATAGTGTCATAGCTGAAGCTGAACACCTGATAGGATGGAAGGTGCTAACTTCAGTGCAGTGCCTCCAGCGGTCTAACGGAACTCTCATATAAGATTTAGCCAACTACCGTGTTTAATCTTTAAGCTAGACTCTAGAGTATGGGGCTTCTTGCCTCAGGCCGTGGGGCGTTTTGCCCTGGGGTTGGGGCAAAATGCCCCATTTGCAGTTGCTTCACAAATCACTTCCTAGCTGGGAGTGAATCAAAAGTGAATGAATTTGAGTGGTGGAATTTAACCCGCGCGGGGCTGGGGGGGGGTAAATTTTACCCCCCTCGCGAATTTTTGCAATATCTCAAAAACGGCGGCGCGCAGCGCCGCCAAACTTTCAGTACCTTTTCTTACATCATTTTGACACGTTCCCTGAAAATTTGAGCGAAATCCGTCGGAATTTTTTTGAGAAATTGACGTTTTAGTGACGTCATGTTCGCCATTTTTGCCTCAAAAACGGCAAAAGATCAAACGCCGCTAACATCTTCATTTTTAAAGGAATCAAGACGCAACAAAAAAGGATATACGTAATTCTACTTTGTCTATCAAATGGCTATCTCGGTTTTTTAGAAGTTTTGGATTTTGACCCAAATTTTTTCAAAAAACTGACTTCTTTTGAAAATAACTATAAAATCCAAAATTTTGAGTGTATCGAAAAAACCGGAATATATGTCAGAGAAGTGGTCTATGTGCACCTATATACCAAGGTTTAGAAGAATCGGTTCAAAAATGTGGGAGTTATTCAAAATTGTATGACGTCACGACACACAAAATTTTTGAAAAATGACTTTTTTGGAAGTTCTAGACCTTGTACGGTAACAAAATTAGCACCATTCGATTCGCCGTGAAAAACTGCATCAGATAGACACCTTTTTAGGCCTTAACAACCAACTTCAAAATTTGACCTCACTTGACCTGACCTTGACCTGACCTCGACCTGAAATTCATCCAGAGGTGGTCCATATCACTTATTGAGTGTGCCTTTTGAATTCTATGAGTAAAATGACCCATAAAACATGTGTCGCACATGCCCTTTTCTATATTTTGTTTTTGGTGACCTGACCTGACCTGACCTGACCTTGACCTTGACCTCTGAATGATATTGTATGCAACGAATATTGTCATGCTAGCCTAAGAACACGTTTTGGGCGATCAGTCTCAGTCCATGACTCCATTCTTCGGCAATTACGGTGCAAGGCCGATACTGTAGGAACTTGCAATTTGTACCCTTGACCTGACCTTGACCTTGACCTCAAACTTAAAATTAAGTACATGTTTTTAGTCGTTCGTGATGAGATCTTTCGATTGGCGTTTGAATTTTCCAAATCGGACCATTAGTTCGGGAGATAACAGGGGGGGGGGTAAAATTTACCCCCCCCCAGCCCCGCGCGTTCGGCTGGAGACCCCAGCCCCGCGCGGGTTAAAGTAAAATGTCCAAAGAACACATTGAGCACAAATTTGGCCTTCCAGGTGATGTAGGACAAAAGTTAGGTAGGCCTATGTAGCAAAATAAATTATCTGGGGCGTCTTGTCCAAGTTCTTTAACTTGCTTCTTTACCCTACTTTATACCCTACGTACATTTGCTATATGTATGTACTTTTGTACGTGACGTACTTCTGTCCATACGTTTACGTACTTTATACCCTACGTACTTCTGCCATACGTACTTTTGTCCGTGACGTACTTTTGTCCATACGTACTTTTTACCCTACGTACATTAGCTATGCGTACTTTTGTCCGTGACGTACTTTTGTCCATACGTACTTTATACCCTACGTACTTCTGCGATACGTACTTTTGTCCCTGACGTACTTTTGTCCATACGTACTTTTTACCCTACGTACATTAGCTATACGCACTTTTGTCCCTGACGTATTTTTGTCCATACGTACTTTATACTGTACGCATTTCTGCGATACGTACTTTTGTCCATACGTACTTTATACTGTACGTACTTCTGCGATACGTACTTTTGTCCCTGACGTACTTTTGTCCATACGTACAGCCCTCTGCAGACTGCGTGGTAGGTATTCTTTTTTCGACAAAACCGATAATAACTCAAAGGTTATGTTATCAGTCGGTCGGAACTCACTGCAAATAGATGCGCCATGCTCCACTCCTTTGATTAGGTTTATCAATAAACAAAGTTTACGCCTTGTGTGGCGACAAAATGCAAAAGTTTGTTTTGGGGGCAAATATAAACTTTTGGGTTTAATTGCCGAACTAGATGAAAAATGGATACGGTGATGATGCCAATCTAAGGGGCGGGGTCTAGCGCGTCTTGCTGTTACGATTTCCGAATGATCGATAGCATAGTATTCGCGTTATTCTCATTTTTGTCGAAAAAAGAATACCTACCACGCAGTTTGCAGAGGGCTGTACTTTATATTGTACGTACTTCTGCGGTACGTACTTTAATCCTACGTACTTTTGCTTACGTACTTTTTTCCTACGTACTTTAGCGATACGTACTTTTGTCCGTAACCCTGTTCTCTAGCTGGTGTTATTGCATTAAGTCCCTTCCATAGGCAGGAGGGAACACACAGGTGGCAGCACCATACACAGTGGTTTCACCACCAGAGGGCAGCAGCCTACGATGAATAAACCTCACATTCTCTAACCATGAGCCGGAAACAACGGTGAGTAAGAGTCAGAAAGTTTAGTCGCAGTAAATTTATAATTGACGTTAGATATAAAATGTGTGCCCCCTATACGGTAACGTTGTTGTAACGACCAGCGGCGGTGACTGGTGAGTTCCGATGAGCGTGTATGAGATCAGGACGTCCCGACTTCAGAGGTCATTGGCACGAGCGGTCACTGTCGTAGGATGCCGCGAATATTTTATCGGACTTGTCCAGTGGACAGTGACGTCATAAACAATCATATATCGATGACGTCATTATGTCTATTCAGTCAGTTATCGTCGCTGTAACGTCACTCTGTCACTATTCTCCCATGACGTCATATAGCACCTGTTGTCTCCTCTATGACGTCATATGCCATATGTTGTCCCCGTATGACGTCATACTCCACCCGGTACCGGCAGGCTTGTTCACCCTGCTGATTGGCTCATTACAAGACGCCAAGGTGACGGACAAATCAGAATTTTAATTAAGTTCACTAATTAGTTAATTACGTCAGTATTGTTATCCTCAAATTAAAGCCTGACCTATTCCCTCCATTTCACACTTTGTCTCGTGGTGATATGTCTAAAACTTCAATGGTTATGACGCTTTAAAGATGATAATGTGCCTTGCCTAAGTCAATGTTTGATGACGTGAATCTCGGAAAGGTGACGTCATATCTTGACAAAAATATGTCTCCCTTCTTTTCACAAAAAGATGAGTAGTTTCACAAAGTTTCGCAAAAATCGGAGGAGGTGAGGTTCAAAATGATCATTTTTTGTCCCACTTGACGTGGAATGCCCCCGCTACGTCATATCGCACATATTGTTCCTGTGTGGCGTAATATGTCCATTTTGTCCCCAAGTGACGTCATACTCCACCCGGTGCCGGCAGGCTTGTTCACCCTGCTGATTGGCTCATTACAAGACGCCAAGGTGACGGACAAATGGGACGACAGTCGGCCGGGCTTCATCACCAACTGGGAGCTGGTGAAGCTGCGCTCCTTCAGCACCAGCGTGCACCGGGTGAACACGGTGGTGCCAAACACTTATCGCTTGTTCTTACTATGCTGCTTCTGCTTATGCGTTTCCTGTATCATGTATGATAAGAAACAATGACGTGATAGTTCGGGGAAAATCATTCAAATGATGTGAGCAATTGTAGATATTGTGTGGCTTAGGGAATACAAATATGGATAAGATGCACACTTAGATGATCGTCAATGTTGCCTTATCCAGCTGTATCCGTTAGAGCACCCTGCTCTACGGAATCGATAGAATGAACGCACCATATATATAGTATGTCCTTTACCTTTCGAACGACGCCTGTGAAAACTGAAAAGTTATTAGTGCGCTCAGTGTCCGTATCGATACTCGGTGCGGCGGTGTCAACAAACCCGACCGAGGGAGGACTGCCAAGTTTGAGAGCCACCGAACCACCTGACCTGGGGATGGGTGACGATGGCGAGGGGGGGGGGGGCGGGGCGAGTTTAGCCGGCGGTTCTCCGCCCCTCACATTGTCTGTGTATCGGTACTTTTGTGAGAGACTGTACATTCACATGGTGTGTGCTGTTGAACTTGCCGATGTTATGTACGGCTTTAGGGATAAGGGATAGGTAAGTGGCTTTTTCCCACACTGTCTAAAAAATGTGTGAATGATCTATGAGCGCGAAAGTGTGCAAATGAGACATACTTTTAGGACACCTGTATCGGAGAAAGGTGAATGAACTACGCGTTTTTTTTTTTCTTACAGGACAAGAATTCTACACTTCACTCACATGAATATGATAATGCTTTTGCTGCTTGTGATTGCTCGCAATAAATGCATGCAAGTTATATCGTTTTTCTATATTTTCCATACTTTCTTTTGCTACTTAACCCGCGACCGCCTGGGGGGGGGGGGTCGGATCCGACCCCCCCCCCTCCGTTTTTCTTGAATAACTCATGAACCGCTTGCGCTATCAACTTGAAACTTGGCATACCTTCTCCCCCATCAATTTGACGTCTCTTGTGCAATTTTTAAGAATTTTTTTTCTCAAAAATTCTGAGATATATCGATTTTAGTGATGTAACTACATGGCGTTTTCAGTCAAAAAATGGTAAATGTTTAAAAATCGCCAAAAATCGAGGTTTTAAGCAAATTACAAATTAAGGACATGAAAAGACGCAGCTCAACGAGTTCTTTAAAATGGCTATCTCGGATTTTCCATAAAATGCTTTTTTACCCCTAAAAATTCAAAAAGATGTTGTGAAATGCGGAGCTCCCTCGCATCATCCTCACGCGACCAATACCGATGTTTTGATGGTTAACCGGGATGTGGAAATAGAGGACAGTTGGACCCCAGAACTCAAGTGTTTTATCACAATTAGATTAGATTAGATTTATGAATCGATTCTGATAATGGATGTTAGACGTTAGACACTATGGACGGTAGATCAGAACAAGACTTCGATTTATAAACGTTTTGAATCCAATCACAACATCTGGCGACCGTGACAGGACTCAGGACTAGCGAAATGGAAGCTTACATTGAAGTCGCAGCTAGACATGGATTGACAGGCGAAGCAGCGTTGACTTTCGCATGCAAACAACTAGAAAGAGAGGAGAGAAGACTGGAAAGAGAGAGGGAAAAGGAAAAGGAAGAGAGAGAAAAGGAAAAGGAAGAGAGAGAAAAGGAAAGAGAGAGAGAAAAGGAAGAGAGAGAAGAAAAAGCCCAGGAAAGAGATAGGGAAGAACGCGAAAAGGAACGAAAACATGAACTGGAGCTAGCAAGATTACGCGCCCCGTCGGAAACCTCGGCGGACACGGAGAGGCCGAGACGAGGCACTGTTACGGGTCCCAAAATGCCCACGTTCGACGAAGAAAAAGACAAAATGGATGCCTACATCAAGAGATTCGAGCGCCACGCCCGGCTCAATCATTGGCCGGAGCACCAATGGGCAGGGCACCTTAGTGCCCTCCTCACAGGAAAGGCTCTAGAAACATATTCCCGGCTTTCAGAAGAACAAGCGGAGCGGTATGAGGATTTAAAGGCAGCCTTGCTCGAGCGGTATGGGCTAACATCAGAGGGTTACCGCCTGAAACTGAGAAATATCTTACCAGAGACAGACGAGAGCCCAAGTCAATTTTTGTCTCGTCTTGAGTCATACTTGGCCAGGTGGATCGATCTGTCGGGAACTGATGCTTCATACGAAGGTCTCTTCGATCTGATCGTGACTGAACAGTTCCTGGAAAGCTGCCCGGACTCCTTGGAAGTCTATCTCAAGGAGAAAGGATGCAAGGTGTCCGCTGACTTAGTCGAACATGCGGCGCAATATTTAGTCGCGCACGGTAAAACCTTGGAGTCTATGTTAAGACGATCAGTCGGCAAAAATATAGCATCATCCACCGCCCTTGCGACCAGTTCTGGATCTCTTGGTCAGACATGCCTGTTCTGCGAGTACCAACATGCCACGAGCAAATGTCGGAAAGCTAAGCATATGACCATAACTGACCGGCGAGATCGACTGATTCGAGCCGGCGCATGTTTTTGGTGCTTAGAACCCCGGCACCGCGCAGCGGAATGCCCGGCCAACAGACCCAGGTGCGAGCGGTGCTCGGGCCCCCACCACTCGTTGTTGTGCGAACGATCCGCATCTCGGACGGTCAACACAGCATAACTCGAGACATCAGCGACGGAGCCGTCCTCGAACCCGACGGTAATAGCCGCAAGCGCTAGCGGAGCGAGCGCTGGAGGCAATGGGGTCATTCTAATGCAGACGGCGCGGGTGTATGCAATGGGCGAAGCGGACCGAAAAGTAGTAAGGGTGATGCTTGACACCGGTAGTAACCAGTCGTTTGTGACATCCGCCGTGGCCGACCAGCTTCACTGCCAGCAGCTGGCCCTCGACGACATGAACGTGCAGTCGTTCGGAGGTGGGCAGACGAAGCAAAAGATGAGGAAGGTGCAGATATCACTAAAAGGCCTCTGTGACGGAACCCCACCTCTGGCGATCACAGCCTATGTCGTGCCGACGATCTGCAGCTCACCACCGAGAGCGGAGCCGGCGATCAGACGTCACGCTCACTTGAAAGGACTGCAGCTGGCTGAACCGGTGACACTGGAAGGCGAAGATCACACCATCTCCGTACTGATTGGACAGGACTACATGCGGGAAGTGATCGACGGCCGCATGAAGATCGGAACTGCCGGGCCCATCGCGCTGGGCTCGCGATTCGGCTGGATCATCTCCGGTCCCTCCGGCTCTGGGAAAGCAACTCAGGCAGCGACTTCCAACTTCATCAGAGCGGAGAAGGCCGAAGACCTCTTGCAAGACCTCTGGAGCCTGGAGAAGGTAGGAATTAGTACCGAGGAATCCGATGGTGGAAAGGACCGCATTCGCTGCGACGATGAAGTTAAACGCTCTTTTGAAGAGACGCTGGAGCGCCTACCAAACGGAAGGTATCAAGTCTGTTGGCCTTGGAAGGAAGGGATGAGAGCCTCCGTCCCGACGAATGAAATACTCGCGAGTACGAGGCTAAATGCCTGTGAAAGGTCACTTAAGAAGAAAGGACGGCTGAACGAGTATGATAACGCAATCCAAAACTACTTGGATGACGATCACGCGGAGAAGGCGCCAACCGTACCCGACGGGCCAGTGCATATTTTGGCCCATCAAGCTGTCTACAAAAAGAGCAAAGTGCGAGTAGTTTTCGATGCTGCAGCTGGACAACCAAGTGCCCTGAATGATCATATCAATGCTGGACCCAGCCTGATAGCCGATCTCACCGGCCTTCTCATTCGCTTCCGGTTCAGACGAGTGGGTCTCGTAGCTGACCTCGAGAAGGCATTCCTGCAAGTGGCACTGCATCCAGCTGAACGGGACGTCACGCGCTTCCTATGGAGGGAAAGAGCGACCGATCCTGTCCCGACGACTTACCGGATGACAAGAGTTATCTTCGGCGTAAATGCGTCCCCGTTCCTCCTCCAAGCCACCATCAGGCATCACCTGAAGCTCTACGAACAGTCCGACCCCAAGCTGGTGACATTGCTGAAGCGAGACATATACTGTGATGACCTTATCACTAGTGTCGACACGGAAGAGGAGGCGGAGGAGGTCAAAGCTCGGACACAGTATATCTTCCTTGATGCAGGGATGGTCATGACAAAGTGGGACAGGAGTGCCTCGGGTGAAACGGCTGAAAGGAATATCGGTGATTGTGGGGAAACTGACCGGAAGGTACTGGGGGTGACCTGGCAGCCTGCTTCAGACGTTCTGGAGATGTGCACACGCACACTGGCAGAGTACGCTGCGGCGTTGCCGGAGACCAAGCGGACCATCCTGAAGATCGCCGCTGCGTTCTATGACCCGCTTGGCTTGATGGCGGCTTTCTCTGTCAGAGTCAAGATGCTCCTGAGGGCCCTGTGGAGACAAGGTCTGGACTGGGACGAACCAATCACGTCAGAGTCACGATTCCAATGGAGAAAGTGGCTTGCAGAGCTAACGCAGTTCGTGGCCTTCAGGGTTCCACGCTTCTACGGGCGACATGACGAAGTCTTCCAGTTACATGTCTTCTGTGATGCCAGTAAAGACGCTCTCGCCGCAGTAGTGTGTACATTCGCAGCAGTACTGATGCACCCGTCCAGGAAACGGCACTGGTCATCTGCAAAACACGACTCGCGCCGTCACAAGGCCTATCAATTCCCAGACTCGAACTTACTGCGGCGCTCATCGGAGCGCGTCTCCTAACCTTCGTGAAGAAGCACCTGCCAATCGCGCCGTCAGCAGAGTTCCTCTGGACGGACTCATCAGTCACCTTGCACTGGATCCGAAGTAATGCACTGAGGTGGGGAACGTACGTTCGGAACAGAGTCCACGAAATCCAAGCACTGACCTCACCTGACGCCTGGAGGCATTGCCCAGGGGTGGACAATCCCGCAGACCTGCCATCTCGAGGAGCATCATCGTCAGCACTGGCAAATGACCTGTGGACACGTGGCCCCGTGTGGCTACGCATGCCTCACGCACAGTGGCCGGCACGGTATGAAGATGAGGAGGTACCAGCTGACTGCACGGTAGAGCAAGAGAAACAAGAAGTGAGCGTCAACGCGTGCTCCACCGCGGAAGATGTCGCTGGAATCGGTCAGCTGGTGCCACTGGAGAACTACAGCTCCCTGAAACGTCTGCATCGCGTCACCGCCTGGGTCATTCGCTGGACGAAGAAGGCACGGCGAGAAGAAGACACGGCGGGAGAACTCACCCAGGAGGAGATCCGGAGATCTGGCGACCTATGGGTTGCACAGGCTCAGACCGACGCATTTAAAGATGAGAAAGCAAGGCTTCAGAGCGGACAAGATGTTCCCGGGACTTCAGATGTCTTCCATCTGAATCCGCATCTAAACAACGGGTTCCTGAGAGTGACCGGCCGTCTCCAAGAATCAGAACTGACTGCACAAGAAAAGTACCCGCTGATACTGCCCAGCAAACACCGCTACACCAAGCTGGTCATTCTAGACCTGCATGAGAATCTCTGTCATGCAGGGATACAGCAGACAATGTTCGCTCTCCGATCCCGGTTCTGGGTACCCCGGAGTCGCCAGACAGTGCGCCAGACCATACATGGCTGTGCAAGATGTCGGGTGTTTCGCCTGAAGCCACTGTCACAGGAGAGGGCGCCGCTTCCCAAGGAGAGGGTATGCGGTGGCGCACCCTTCTCGCGCATTGGTGTCGACCTGGGTGGACCCCTGTACTTCAAAGATGGCGAGAAATCTGAACCGGTGAAGGCCTACTTCGTCCTCTTCACCTGCACTGCCGTCCGCGCCGTCCACCTGGAGCTTGTGGAAACGCTTTCGACAGAAGACTTCCTGGCGGCCTTCGAGCGGTTCGTGGCTCGTCGTGGAAAACCCACAGTAGTTTTCAGCGACAACGCCACAAACTTTCGAGGAGCCGCATCCCGCTTGACCCATCTAGGCGTGACCTGGAAGTTTAACGTGCCAAGAGCCCCCTGGTGGGGAGGATTTTTTGAACGAATGGTGCGGACAACAAAAGACGCTCTGAGGAAGACATTGTACAAGAGCCTGATGACGTTCTCCGAGCTGCAAACAGTGTTATGTCGCATTGAGAGTGTCATAAATGCGAGACCACTTTCACCGCTCACTGAGGACATCAACGACGTACGGACTCTTTCGCCTGATGACTTCCTGCGAGATACGTCACATGAGTCTGCGGAGCGTGCCGCCACGGACCACCCGGAGACGGATGGCGAACCTGGGCGCTCTCTGGGAGCAAGATGGAGGTACCGACGGCAGGTCCTTCAGCACCTATGGCAAAGGTGGGCACGAGAGTACGTGAGGGAGCTGAGAGTACCGCGCCGTGAGCCAAATGACCAGCCCAAGGTGGGGGACATGGTCTTGATCGGCGATAACACGAAGACATCACCAGCACTCTGGCAGATGGGCAAAATCACCCAGCTGCACCAGGGACGGGACGGTTTGACCCGGTCTGCGACAGTGCGAACAGCTGGTGGTGAGCTCGCGCGGCCAGTCCAGAGACTGTACCCCCTGGAAGCAACCTGACTTCCAGTGTCACAGAGACCGGAGCAACAGAAGCGCGTGCTGGCGCACTTTCGCGGGGGGAGGATGTTGTGAAATGCGGAGCTCCCTCGCATCATCCTCACGCGACCAATACCGATGTTTTGATGGTTAACCGGGATGTGGAAATAGAGGACAGTTGGACCCCAGAACTCAAGTGTTTTATCACAATTAGATTAGATTAGATTTATGAATCGATTCTGATAATGGATGTTAGACGTTAGACACTATGGACGGTAGATCAGAACAAGACTTCGATTTATAAACGTTTTGAATCCAATCACAACAAAACTATATTTTTTGGAAAACAGCTAATAAAATCCAAAATTTTGAGAATTTCCAAAAAACCGGAATATATGTTATAGAGCTCTATTAGAACATTAGATGTCCCAAATTTCAACTTTCTATCTTGATTTTTGACCCCCAAATTGTAAAAAAATAGCTCCAACATGCATAGGGCATGGTGACGTCATAAGCATTTTCGCATATTAGAGGCACTTTTGAACATCGCATGTGAAAACAAATGGCACCACTAGATTCCTGGGACAAAGCTCGTCTAGAAAAGTGCATTTTTATGTCAAAAATAAAAAGTTGAAAAATTGACTTTTTTTCTTAGCCCTCGTTTAGTTATGTATGGTATAAACGATTTTTTATGCTTTCAATGCACACTTATCACCAGCACAGTGACTTGGGGTCACATATAACCATTACCATCGGATTTGGCGTGAAAAATAAGCCATAAAACATGAGTCGCACGCCCATGTAGCAGAAAGTGAAAACCGTGACCTTTCGTGACCTGACCTGACCTTGACCCGTACTTAGTATGACCCCTGTACGCACATGGTACCTTCACTAGGTCTTTGAGGTCATTTGTGGTGAGTTTCGAGCAGCAGCTATCGATTCCGCTGTCCGTAAGCCTAATCATGCAAAACCCCTAAATTTGACCTTTGACCTGACCTTGACCCGAAAGTTGACCTTAATCTTAAAATCTTAAGAGTGCTTTGGGAAGGTCTCGTAGAGACCTTTCGAACGCCGCCTCGCGGGGCTCGATACGACCATTGGTTCTCGAGATAACAGGGGGGGGGTCGGATCCGACCCCCCCCCCCCAGGCTGATGTGGGTACGGAAATAGCCCAGGCGGTGCCGGGTTAACCCGCGCCGGGGGAGAGGGGGGGACAGAATCTTCCCATTACCATTTTTCGGCAATATCCATTATCCAGTAGGTTAACCCGCGCGGGGCTGGGGTCTCCAGCCGAACGCGCGGGGCTGGGGGGGGGTAAATTTTACCCCCCCTGTTATCTCCCGAACTAATGGTCCGATTTGAAAAATTCAAACGCCAATCGAAAGATCTCATCACGAACAACTAAAAACATGTACTTAATTTTAAGTTTGAGGTCAAGGTCAAGGTCAGGTCAAGGGTACAAATTGCAAGTTCCTACAGTATCGGCCTTGCACCGTAGTTGCCGAAGAATGGAGTCATGGACTGAGACTGATCGCCCAAAACGTATTCTTAGGCTACCAAGACAATACTCGTTGCATACAATATCATTCAGAGGTCAAGGTCAAGGTCAGGTCAGGTCAGGTCAGGTCACCAAAAACAAAATATAGAAAAGGGCATGTGCGACACATGTTTTATGGGTCATTTTACTCAAAGAATTCAATAGGCACACTCCATAAGTGATATGGACCACCTCTGGATGAATTTCAGGTCGAGGTCAGGACAAGGTCAGGTCAAGTGAGGTCAAATTTTGAAGTTGGTTGTTAAGGCCTAAAAGGGTGTCTATCAGATGCAGTTTTTCACAGCGAATCGAATGGTGCTATTTTTGTTTCCGTACGAGGTCTAGAACTTCCAAAAAAATCATTTTTCAAAAATTTTGTGTGTCGTGACGTCATAAAATTTTGAATAACTCCCACATTTTTGAACCGATTCTTCTAAAACTTGTTATGTAGGTGCATATAGACCACTTCTCTGACATATATTCCGGTTTTTTTGATACACTCAAAATTTTGGATTTTATAACTATTTTCCCAAAAAAGTCAGTTTTTTGAAAAAATTTGGGCCAAAATCCAAAATTTTCAAAAAACGGAGATAGCCATTTGATAGACAAAGTAGAATTACGTATATCCTTTTTTGTTACGTCTTGATTCCTTTAAAAATGAAGGTGTTAGCGGCGTTTGAACTTTTGCCGTTTTTGAGGCGAAAATGGCGAACATGACGTCACTAAAACGTCAATTTCTCAAAAATTTTCCGACGGATTTCGCTCGAATTTTCAGGGAACGTGTCAAATTGATGTAAGAAAAGGTACTGAAAGTTTGGCGGCGCTGCGCGCCGCCGTTTTTGAGATATTGCAAAAATTCGCGAGGGGGGGTAAAATTTACCCCCCCCCAGCCCCGCGCGGGTTAACCCTCGCCGGACCTATTGGTTTTCTACATACGCGCCGGCCGAGGGGGGGGGCGGGTACGACCCCCCCTCGCCGTTTCGCCCCTGGTGGAGCTAGCGCGTCGCGGAAAAAACGAGCGTGTGCGCCGTTACGAGACGCAGAGATTGGTACCCAATTTTAAGGTCCTAGGTCAACCGGTAACCTCTGAGGTCAGGTCAAGTGCCCCAAGGTACGGTTCAGTTTTTGGTGAATAACTTCGCAAAAAACGGCCGCAGAGCGCCGATTTTGGCAGCATCGTGTTCGCCTCGCTCAGGCGCGTCGAATGATATACTTTTTGTCCGGGTCAGGTCAACTTGGGGTGTTGACCTCAGGTCAAGGTCAGGTCAGTACCCCCAGGTCACGAAGCTGGTCGAAAGAGGTCATGTCGCATATCATTCGATTCGGCAGGCCTTCCTGAGTCCATTGGTGGCTTTCCCGACTCGCTAGCTCAATTTGATCAAGAGTTATTGACGAAAAACTAATATGACCTTGATGACGTCATAAATGATGTCACGCAAGGTCAACATTGCAAAAGTGACGCATCTAACCTTGCAAGGAGTGCATCAAATCACGATTCTGTGTGCTTGAGATAGTTGGAGATCGTTCCCGGCGCCAGAATAGCAGTTTTCATTTTTCCCCATTGACTTATAATGGTGAGGTCACGAAAATGACCTGACCTCATATGACCTTTAGGAAAAATCCGAGATATACAAGTTGTGGGACTCATAATGGATACTAGATCCTGCAAGTTTCATTTCCCTGTTACATCTCCTCTGGCAGTGAGGGCGTTGCGAAGTTGCGACATCTGAAGACCGTGCAGAGGTTCACGTATGACGTCATAGGTCAGTGACCTGACCTGACCTAAAATGCGGTTGGTGTCAAAAGATCCGGCTTGGATCAAAGGTCAGGTATGCCAAGTTTCAGCTCTCTATCGCCAGCGTGTTCGGAGCTATCGCGAAAAAAACTATGGGGGGGGGGCGGCACCCGCCCCCCCCCCTCGGTCGGCGAGGGTTAACGGTCGATAACGGCAGATAACAATGTTGGATACTGGATAGCGATACTTTCCTAACGAAAATAAAACTTCGCGAAAAAAACGAGCATGTTGCATGTGTCGAGAGGAGGCCGATTCTACGCAGATTTGTCCATGTCCTAGTTCATTGGTTGAACTTCCAGGTCAAGTCAATGACCCAAAGGTCGTAAAATTGGGCGCTGCTAGAACTTGGTACAGTGAAGTTGTCATTGGGTTCCAGGGTCCTGCCCAGCTCACGGATGTCGTTGGCACAACGTTGTCAGGACGTTGCATTTCGGTAAGTTATGGTGTACAACGTTGTCAGGACGCTATGGCAACGTTACAAGCGTGCGTCGGCAAGGTTGACGAAAGGTCCGTCATTTTACGTTTTGTTGACTTTATGCCGATACGTTGCGCCGACGTCGTATATACGACGGCGGCACAGTTATGCTATAGCATAACTTTGAAATCTCGATTACAAGAGTGTGTTTCAAATGCTTTTCTCCTATGATCGGTGGACAATGCCCAGACAGCCAGAAAAGACATACAATGCTATTCTGTTATGTCTTGTTTTGAATTGACTACACATTGATGGTTGTCATCATAGCTGCTTGTGGCTTTTGTAACATTATCACATTTTCTCGTGACTATTCGTGACGTCATTACAGCAGTCTCGGGCTGTTTTTCGGAGACGTCATCAAAATTCCTCGCAACTTTTGAGGGCTTGGCATGATACCTATTTGCTCTTTATTTTTGGTGATCCATCATTATGTAAGCACTTCATTGTTGACGACTTCATCATAGTTCCTCACAGCTAGTTATGACGTGACAAGTTTTATCTGATTTTTGTTGACAATATGTTTATTCGTGACTATGTATGACGTCATAATTTCCGTTCCTGACTACCAATGACGTCATATTTGTTCCGGTCGCGACTGACGAACTATCCCGTCCGTGACGTCTCTGTTCGAGATTAGTGAATCACCGTCTCTGAAAAAAGAACACAATGAGAGATCAAAACAAAAATCAGAAGATGAAGATGAGGAGATAGATGAGAGAAAGAGAGGGAGAGAGAGAGAGAGAGGGAGATAGACAGAGAAAGGAGAGGATGCATGAACCTTGAGTATAAACCAGTTCAGCTGAGCGCGCCGCCCTGTGCGGACGCGAGCGCTGCTCGCTCCTACCCGTGTACCCATTTTGCCTATCCGGTGTGTGTGTTTTCAATGTGCATCTGGAGTGAAAGTGGTACTAACAGCCCAGGACTGATCCCGAATCTTCGCACTGGACGAAACTCGGCTGCGTGACGGTCGTGTCATGTGTGACGGACTTGAACCTCCTCATGCATCGAGACCTGGCCCGCTGTGCCTGACCCTGCTCGCCGTCGTGCGAGTGCTGGTGCTCATCTGCGCCCCGCAGCCGGCGCTGGATCCCTCTCCCTGGACGGATGCCGTGCATCGCAGCAGAGTGCAGCGTCTGCAACCGTCGGATCGCTGCCTGCTGCGTGACGTCACCACCCGGCAGCCGGCTCGTCCCCGCCATGGATGAAGTATTCCTGGATAGGACACTCCCTATTCCCCAACACTAGCGGCATATTTACGTCTGGACAACGAGTTGCGTTGGAGAGGCCGGAAATAGTGGCGATTTCAGGACCGCAAGAATGGACCGTCATTGGAATGATTCTTTTTTAAACCGTGCACTGTTTTCGGCCGGAATTTAATAGTTGCTACAAAATATTTTGTAATTACGTTTCCACCAAGAATGAATGCCAGCAGGGCTAAATTTTTAATATTATTGCATTTTGTCAAGAAGCATATAGTGCTGTTATATTGCAGTTTTAGCGCGTTTGTTACAAAATATGAAGCGAATAAGCGTCAGTGTAATTCATCAACAGTGCCAGAAGTTAACTTGAGGGAAAGCTATGCTAATTGCTCTTGTCCATCCACTAAAATTTATTAAATATTTTGCTTTGTGTATTCCAAAAGGAGAGGGAACTATTTCATTTGTGCCTTCATGTCAGAATTGAAGGTGGATCATGAAATTTTCAACACAGTTTACAAACAAGCATTTGGTCTTGATCTCGTTTATAAGCAGTGGCTAAGGAAAGGTTGATCAATCCTGAAGTTCAGTCATCGTACCTCAACTTGGCAGCAAGATCCCCCAAGGACAGAAGATATATTGTAAACCTGTCCTGTTAATCAAAACATTTTTGTGCCTTCAAAGGTTTAAGTTATCTGTGGTGTGTTCGGAGTTAGGCTATATTGCCGTTTTTGTTGTATGTTTATGTGGAGATTGAATATAACTGTGACCCTGTGCTTGTTTGTATACTTACGGTCAAACAGGGAACAGCACATTCACATAACATACTCACCTAGCACCTAATTCATAGCTGTACCATGGATGAGATAATAATGGATTGGTGTCTTCGCAGTTTTTGGCGACATTGAGCTCAGGCCTGCCATCTAGCGGGAGAATTATCGTAAGTTAGGAGCAAGCCGAGTGAACGCCGCTGATTAGCATTGTGACACACGGGAGTGTCGTGTAGAAGTAGGCTTGTTTTTGCAATTTTTCAAAAGGTTATGTCTTTATATGTCAGCAAAAGCGAAGAAATTAGTAGATTTATGTGCAGGGTCAGTAATAAGATAAGCAGTTCCATGTTATTTCATCATTAAATCGTGAAACAGGGAGTTATTGGAGGCTTCGCCAGCACGTGTTGTTTTCGCTATTTTTCACATGAGTCTTTACTTGGCCTAAATCAAACAAATTGTCCGATCAAAGAACAAAATGAACGTAAGTACTATCTATAAGTCTAATGAAAAAGTTAAACGGAATTGCTAACGTCATTGCCGCTCAATATGTCTTTCAAGACGCCCTATGAAAAGGACCCAACCAGTGCTGCGTAGTCGATAAAATTTCAGTGACTTTGGCTCCAACTCCGACTCCGGTATGAGGTATCCAAATATTGACTCAGACTCCTTCGGGCAGAACTGTCGATTCACACAGACTCCGACTCTGACTCCGACTCTGCAGCCCTGGTAAGTCTGTGGAGTCGATGACTTTTCGGTGATGTTCGACTCATACTCCGACTACAGCTTTTAATAATCAACCGACTCCGATTCGGAACAGAACCACTGGCTCTGACTACAACTCCGCAGCCCTGGCCCAAGATAGCCGCCTAAAACAACTTTGATGTGTGATCTTCTTCGTACATTGTGAATGTTATTTTAAACAAGGAGTGGAAAAGGGAGACGAAGCCTTCACAAACAAGGATCTCCTGTTGCGGATCAATCAGCTGCTGGAACAAAAAGGCATAAACACCACGCATCTCATTTCCTCGTTTTCCTAACGACTCCAATGTAAGCACTGATCAATGCAGTGCGAGCATCGATGTGACATTTGTGTACCAAGTTTGAGTGTTATCCGCCCAGCCGTTCTTGAGATATGGAAGCGGCACCCCGCACGTGCGCACGTGCAGTAGCACCCCCATAGTGACACATGGAAATGCATTGGCCACTGGGTGCCTAACTATTGACGAAGTTTTACTGTAATGGGCCCAGCCATTGCGGAGTTACTTTATGTGGAACAATTTCGACACCCCTAAGTTGGCACGTGACACGTGCCGTAACATTAACTAAGATGAAGAAAATGCGGGCGAAATTCGGAGAAGAAGGAATACCTAAGCCTACCAAATGTGTATGACATATTGTCAAACTGCTGTATACCATTGTGAGTAAATGCCCATATAAAAGTTCGTACAAGCCGATGGGACTGGGTGTTTCAATACACACCGTCTTACGCATTTTATTTTCGTTATTACCTAAAGGCTGCTTGACGTTTTTGGCTTTCAAGCATTTAAGACATTTTTTGTCGTCTCAGGTCCAGTAAGATTACCTCCAACTCGTGGGAATATGCACTTCGAGCCAACTAACACACCACACCCACGTGTGTCATAATGCTGAGAGATGGCGTTCACTCGGCTTGCTCCTAACTTACGATAATTCTCTCGCTAGATGGCAGGCCTGATCCCAATGTCGCGGATCCCAATGTTAATTTCCACGAGACACCAATCCAGTGTTATATCATCCATGGCTGTACCCTGCAGGATCTGTACTTGTTCATGTCTCGAGCATTAACAAAGCACTTAGGTAGCTTAGTAATCATTTCCCACATTTTCTGAGCATCTAACATGACATACAATACAGCAGTGCAGAGCAGCTTCAGAGAAGAAACACTTTAAATGCACAGACTCACACCAGCCACCCAATAAGCCAGTTCCTCAGTTGACTGTTTCCCTGGACACAGCTTGGCAATGTGAGCTAACTTTTGGCAAGTTGAAGGTTAGCAGGTAAGATTGAGTTAGGGTGAGTACCTACCTATAACTGGGTACTACTGCCATGCAGGTCTTGGGTAGGCTGCAAATATGTGTGATGATTGAGGTTAGGTCAGCTGTCAGGTTAGTCAGGTTCAGGTATGCTCATTGCTCAGGTCACATTTTTATGGACATTTGGCAAATTAAAAAAACTAACAATCTGATCTAAGCTAACCCGACTAAAAATACACAACTACTGACTATAGGAACTGAGCACCTACCTACTTGTGCCTACATCTCATACCATGTCAAAGTAGAGTTCCTTGGTGGAAGATTACCCTCAGTACTTTTTATCCCAGCCCTGTGAAGAAAAATAATACTTCTAAGCTCTGAGTCACTGCTGGCCATCCACAGGAAGAAACGCTGAGACTGAGAGCTTTGCCATATGTATATTGGACCAATAATGACTATCACGAATGACTATGAACACATGATATGATCACATCGTTGCATGGATTGTCACATTGACAATTTTACAACAATCCTTTTTTCAAGAAATACAGTGATGATGATTAACATCAAAATCAACATAAAGTGGATTTAGTGATCCAAGCTTTCTCCTCCAGTAGCAATGGAATGATCACATGTTTCATTTGCCAGACTCTGAGTACCTGATGCACATTACAATCTGCATAGCATCTAAGCATAGTAAAACTGCCCATGTCCATTCATTCTAGATTTTAACTTGATAGTTAGCACTAATTTATCTTGCTGTTGTAAGTTATCATTCAATATTCATACCAATACATCAATATGTGCACATCAGTCAACATTTTCTGGCATGATCCTGCTCAGCGTGCTCTTCAGTATTGCTTCAAGGTCTGCAATATTATAGCTTGTTTTCGGACAATAAGCTCTTTTAATTTTCCTTTTTTTTTGCTGATATATGAGCCCGATCAACTTGCGTTTATCAACCAAAATTTCATAACTTGTTCAACTTGATATTGATATTGCTCAGTAGTCAGGACCTCTGTCAGCCTCCAGGATACTTCAGATTGTTTTCAGTCAACATGCTTCTTAAATATGATATAAGTCAATCTTAAGGGATTCAAAACATCCAACAAAACGACGTACAAGAGCAAGAAAACCACCAGATAAACTAAAAAATGGCCTTGGAACAGAGCTAAGTGGTGCTCCATTTGTTTGTTTACAATGATTGTAGCGCTGATGTATTTTTAGGACTCTGAACGTCGGCTTATAAAAAAATGAAACGTTTTTACAAAAGTTGTAAGGCAAGTAATATTTATCTGAAAGAACTAAAATATTCAAAAGCCAAACACTATAAAATACATGAATCGGAACGAAAAAGTAACCCAAAAATCCATCCTAATCACCGGCTCCTAAAACTGCAACACAATCAGGGCCCTGTTCGGGTCCGCGCAAAATATTTTGCTGAGTGTGAGGTCACACATGCGATGATGTCAGCCGCCTGGCTCCGCCCATGCTCCGCCCCCTCTCCGCCGGTTCGCAAAGCCGAGGGCCACGCGACACGCGGCGAACCGTGGCGCGGATGAACTGGTGTGTTTCGTTCAGTTACTAAGTAAAATGCGTTCAAATGTGGTTACTAGCAATGTGCCACTGAAAAGAAAGATAATGATACCAAAACAACACCATACTAACCACT